AGGAAACGTATTGCTTTTTCATATTCGGTTGAACCGTTATAATTATAATTTTCCATATACGGGTATTCCTATATATATAAATTTTAACACTTTATTATTATATTCTTCATATGCTTTTTGCATATTATATATGTTTTGTAAGAAGAATATTGTTACTATAGCAAGTTGTCCAAATGAGAATTTTATTACATCTATCGTTATGGACATAAAGAGATCATAACAATAAATCTTCTTGATCAACAGTTAGAGTGAAGCACATCACATTTTAAACCATCTATATTCATCGCCATTAGTCTGCTTAAATTTCCTACTATTCATTGTAATTATTCTTACTTTTCTTGCAATGTTCTTGTTCATTGTCTTCATGGATTCTGTCTTACAATTCACAGTCATTATAGTTGATTTAACAAATTTGACCAGAATACTAATAATATTACCTTTTCTTATAAGTATCTGATGCAAGAGTCTATGAGCAATGGGATCATCAGCAAGATGGTATGGATCAATCCAGGAGCACAAGAGGCTTTCAAAGGTTCGTTGATACTCTTCAGTGAGCTTAAAGACACCAATACCACAGATGATGAGGCGGTTGTAGTTGATAGCAGAGGGACAATGACAGTGGGTATGCAAGCAGGTACTTTCAGCATTATCATAGAGTAGCTGATTTCTACTTTTGTCATAATACACTGTTTGCACAGAAGGGTCATCAGCATATGCTGTTCCTAAAAGATAATAATAAAAGTTCTTAGTCAAAATAATAATAATACAAAACTATAAGCACCATTAGACAAATCAGAAAAGCTAATTTCTTACTAGTAGTTGAGGATGAGTCCTGGGAAAGTACATGTGATTGGCTAAGTTTCTTTTCCCGATTTCTCTGCCTAATCTCATTACTAACCTTTTTCTTATGCACCTCATCCAAGAAAGCATTCATTTCCTTGTCTTCAGGTAATAAAGTATCCACTAATGGTTTCTCATGATGTGTTACCATGGGCACCTGATCTGCAACCGAATTGAAGTCAGATTAAGATGAACTGATGTTAGAAGAATTATCATTTAGAGTCTGCTTCTGTTCCACTTTTGTGATTCTATCTCTAAACTCAAATTCCAACTCCTTGATTCTGACCTTGAGTTTAGCATTCTCAGCATCACGCCTTGTTCTCTCTTCCTCAGTCATTCTTAAAGCCTCAGCAATCCTGTGCTTAAGTTCAGCTCTCTCAGCATCAAACTCTGAGATCTTTCTTCTAAGATCAGGTATTAGTATTTCAACATTTATGGCTTTGAGCTCACCATTCTCAGCCTCGAACTTTAGTAACTTCTCTCTAAGTTCGGGAATCTCAGCATTCTCCTTCCTAAGCTCTGTAATCTCAGCTAAGAGCTTGGCATTTAATTCTCTCAATGAATCAATGGATTGCATGTTTGAAATAATTTTTTATGTAAGATGGAATAATTCAAAAGTTTGTTAGCATGGATAAAAAAGACCGTGGCAAAAATATCATGACTGGTTTACTGATTTATTGATGTAAAATGTACAGCCATGACTGAAAAAATATTCATACCTTATCGACTCGTCTGGAATTTTGTGCATTATAGTAGCGAAAGTTAGTGCTAAGAATATAACTATCAGTAATAGATATCTTGCTTTTTATGCAAGAATGATAAAGATTCGTGAGAATAAAGTTTAAAGATCTAGAACTATCACATAGAGATTATAATATAACTTAGCTATCTCTTTTTTTTGTGATCGGTTTATCACTGCATGATGATACACCTCCCGAGAGTGGAATCACGAGTCATAAGCTTTAGAGGTAGTTTCCTAGGTCCAAAGCGTAGGGATGGTGTAAGGGGTGAGCATTTCTGCGAGACCCTCATCTCTTTCTACGATACACCTCCCGAGAGTGGAATCACGAGTCATAAACTTTGGAGGTAGTTTCCTAGGTCCAAAGCGTAGGGATGGTGTAAAGGCGAGCGATTCTGCGAGGCCCTCGTAGAAAGGCAGTGATGTTTAGCCGAGTGGTGCTTATTTCCGTTAAAACCCGCTACCTTTCTTCGTATGATCTGCACGTGATGAAACAGGGACGCGTAAATTGTCCAATAAAAACGACGCGTTGAGTACTTTCTCTAGAAGTCGCTATATTACGACTAGCTAATCATGGATTATAAAGTCCCCACGCATGCAGAAATCGACGATTATTTCTCTACTAATCCAATGTCGGAATGGCACCTTCTTAATGTATATATGGATTCCAAATTAGAGTCCAACCCACTTTTGACGGCATCAGAATTATTTAGGTCCTTTTGTAGATCACCGAGAAAAATGAGAATGACAGTTACCCCAAATACGCTTCGGAATATGCGAAAAAGCTAAGGATGGCTATGAAGGTAACCTTTGCTAATAAATCTCACTTTCCATCTGATGTAACTAATTAATAGTGTTATAGACGAAAGGAAAATTTTTCATGAATCTTGCCGAGAAGATTGTTGATCGCGTTGAACGGCGAGAACCAATGAAGGAAAATGAGATTGATATTCGGCAAAAACAGGTCATCCTATTCTTTCTACAAATAATTAGTACCTTAGAATAATGTTAACATAATAACTAACCTTTAGACCATGCGAGATCAACTATCTGAGTCGAAAGCATTGGACGAAATAACCAATGCGATTGTTGGAAAACGTAAAAGAGACGATAATGACGATGATGAGATTGACAATAGTAAGATTTCTAAAAATGGCAACATTGAACCAATGGTGAGAACAAGTTTAGTTTCATCATCTTTAAATGATTTGTGCATACACTTATAGTATTCATTAGGTCCAAGAAAATTATGAAAAAATAACTACTTCTGAAAAAGGACATAGTAATGGTTTCGAAATATCTTCATTTGGTATTGAAGTGAAATCCAAACAAATATCTACGTGGGATTATGTAATACAAAAATGGAAATAAGAGATGATTCTTCGAAAGACGTATGTTTATAAATATTGCTGAAATGATAACCTGTATATTATATCTTTGCTGAATCATCTTTCCGTATTTTGTATTTGAGTAGTGGATAAATGAAGGCCACAATTTTTCTGAAGATTTTCGGCAATTTCAGAAGTCAATTATCGAACACTAAAAACTGACCCAGTCTTAAATTATACGACCGATGTTGAATCCATAATGTAAGCCTTCCAGCAAAGTCATTGTATTTTTTAATAAAATGTTCACATATATCTGTACTTATCATAGTGCCTTATTGAGCATTATGCTATTAAGCAAGAACAAAAAACCAGCCTATATTTCATGTACTGACAATGAGTGGCGGATGGCGTTTCCACAAATTACTTATAAATTCAAGATGCCAGCTCTTGTCCAACTCACTTTATGTTCATATACACAGGTAAAATATATATATATTAATTCTATGCTATATTAGTTTAATACACTTATACGTTGATTGTATTTTATTGTACCCTTTAATGAGGAATGATTTGGCTGAATTTGAAGACTTGTGGAGGCTGAACTGGAGCAAAATATCCTCATTAGTCACCGAACATTTCACGAAATCCGATAGGGAAGTGTGTTTTCCGGAATTTTTGTCGATCATTTTCCGAAGGCACATATAGTCACACATATGTAAAATTAGGGGTTGGATTTTGCTGCATAACAAAGGTATAGAATGTCACAATTGAACACCTGACATGGTCATAACAAAAATTTTACCTCTTGACATGCTTTTTCGAACAAGTTTACGTTTGCAATGAAATAGGTTTTTGTTTTAAAAGAATCTGTTGACAAAGTTTTACCCGGCAAAATATAATAGTATTAGAGTTTCTTCCCACATTGTGTATAGTTTCTTCGGGTTACAACTCGACGCTGGTATGGCCATACTAATAATAATAGAGTTCTATTCGTAAACTACTTTTTTAATTATTACTACTTCGTTTTACACAGCAACCGTTTTGGAGAGATGAGCGAAAGAAGATCCTGTAAGTAGTACATATATATATTATATATACGTATATGGGGAAAGCGAGAGCGCAATGCGAAATCTGAGACTATTCTGTTAGCAGGCCACTAAAGTCGCCCTTATATGTTTTGAATACAGCTTGTTACTACCAAGAGTTTACGCAAATGCCAACTGTCTTGGCTGTCAGTAATATGTAACAGTTACATTACCAGGTAAGCTTCCAATTGCAATAACAAGTTGCATTACTAGTCATGAAGAGTCATGAAGGAATGTGCTTTTGACTAACCTCTCTCGTTGTTAACTTTATTTTATGATAGTTCATTGAGAAATTGGGATGCAATATACTGTATATAATATATTAATATGTTATAACGATCCGATCTGTTTTCTTCGAAAACACGAAATCGATCTCAATCGCTAGCATCACTGAATCGGCAACCAATAATCCAATGCTCATGAAATTTACATGCATGTTAAGCATAACTGTCGTCAATGTGTGTGCAAAAGATTGACACAGAATATTATGTTGAATTCTGAGTTTGCATATAACAATCTGTTTAATTTTTTTAAAACACGAAATCGATCTCAATCGCTAGCATCACTGCAACCAATAATCCAATGCTCATGAAATTTACATGCATGTTAAGCATAACTGTTGTCGATGTGTGTGCAAAAGATTGACACGGAATATTATGTTCAATTTGAATATGCATAAACGGCTGGCTTGATTCTCCGAATATAAGTGTGCAACTTTCCGATGATCACGTGTAATAGATTATCAAATCACCTTTCAGGGGGTTGGCACGTGTCCTGAACGCGAATTTAAAAATACGCTAAGGTGTCTTCTACGCGTCTACTCTCTTTCGCTACTCTCTTCACTCATATATACGCCATGGTCCAAACTCGAAGCGGACGTAAAGCCTCCCCCTCCCCCGCCGCCATGCCGCAACAGACGTCGCAACAGACGTCACAAAGGACGCCGCCGCAGCAACAGACGTCGCAGCAACAGACGTCGCGAACAGACGCCGCCGCCGCCGCCGCCGATAATGATGACGAATCCACGCCTGCCGTAGTTTATGAGGTTAGTGTAAAAAGTAAAAGCTTGTTTATTTATTATTAGAATATGATGAAATTGCAATTGCACTAGACTAGTCGCGCCATCCTTCTCTCTCCATGGGGCTATGTCATAGTCAACAGACTACTAAGGGATTAAGTTCCATAGGCATGCCCTTTGAGGTTGGTGTGAAAGCGCATCGTGGCCACAGCTTGCGAAAGTTACCAGTCAGGTATCCAGCCCTGGCGTACGGGGGACGGCCTGCTGTGAACGTTCTTCTTCTTTTCCATTCCTGATATGCCGTAGCAGTATAGGGAGAGTTTACTAGCTACCCAAGGGATTAAGTTCCGTAGGCATTAAGGAAATTCTAATGAGTAGCATATCTATCTTGATACTTGTGGATATAGTTTAAACTGTGCCCAAGGCATCCCTATATCTGATATTCATTGGAATACTCTAGTTGTCAATTGTGGCTTTGGCATAACAAAAGTTTATAGATCTACTAATTGCAATTGCACTAGAAACTTGTTGCACATACATCTTCTCTCTCCATTGGGATTATGCCCTTTGAGGGTGGTGTGTTGGTACCATCGAGTACGTTCCGAATATGTCATAGCAGTATATTGAGAGAGTTTACTAGCTACCCAAGGGATTAAGTTCCGTAGGCATTAAGGATCTCTAGATTGCAATTGACATTTTAGTAAAATTTATGAACTTTTACTGATTATAATTAATCTATTCTTAATTAACTTCAAATATCTCAGTGAATGCCTAACTTACTTTTTTTGTATTACTATTACAGGATGGCAGGTATGTGTTCTGCTGTAGGGGTTGTCGACACACCCACCAGCATGAGCACCATAACTACCACTACCACCACCACTATGGTGCCGCGGCAGAAGCGGAGTTAGCCGCAGCCGTGCATTCTATTAAAGAGGAGGTAGTTGCCACCATAAGGGGATTGAGGGGTGGGTGGATGTGTATAAATGATATAGTGGTAGCCATCCTCGTTATTTTTTTTGGCTTATACTAAGATAACGAACGCGAAAGCTTCATATAGCTCAGCAGCCAGACATTGTTCATTCAAATACGGATATTAATTTTTGGCTGCAAGTTATATTGTTGGAGTACTTGGCAAAGTGAGATGATTAAATTCTAACAGACATAGGAAAAATAAATTTACAACTTGTGATAATTTTATTAACAGTTTACAAAATTAGGATATTACTTTCTATTACAAAATTAATAGACCAGATTTTCGGACGCCCATCTGGATGTCCTACTATCGATATATCATCATTTCATCTCTATCAAGTGGGAACTTTTCATTCATAACTCGTTTCAGACCTTCCAACATTAACTTTGACGACATCAAGTCATCTTTTGCAAATTTAGCATTATCGCTCTGACTTCTCATCAATCTGCCGATAACATTTTCTACCTTCTCTAATCGATTCTTGACTTCTATCGCTAAATAATTAATATCATCCTCCAATTGCGGTTGTACCCCAAGGCTCACAATTAGCTGCGATGCCGCCAACACAGATGCGTATTCGACTAACATCAAGGTAATCTTCCAGGTATCCCGCCAGAAGTCTAAATCAGACGACACCGATACGCTCAAACACTGCTCCCATATCTTGAGCAATACTAGCCCATGCTCTGTAAACCCAATCAATGTGAGGATAGTCGCCGGACCAAAATCTCTAGTATCTACAGTTGTTCCATCTGTTGATGCCACCGTGGGGCGAGGCGTGCTCAGATCAGGTTCAAAGTAAAGTACAATCTCGGAGAAAGCAATCTTAGTGACCATTGATAGAACGTCCTGCGTTTTTGTCAACTGAACGTATATAGCAAGTATATTACGTGAAATGAACAATAGTTCTTGTCTTACGCGTTCTGTGAATTTAGTTCGCTTGTCCTCCACCGAAGGTTCCGAGTCATGAAATACGTTGATAGATTCGTTTTTAAACCATGCCTCTTGTATCTCTTTAAGAATTGGTTGAGCAGATAGCTGTTTTTCTTCGTGTGTCAGAGGAACCGCAACCACAGATGCATATCTCGGATGAGTAAATAGATGATGAATCTTTACTAATAGCGTAGAGCAGTCTGAATAATGCTCATTCACGTCTTTTATATCTATTGCTCCAATCGGGTAAATATATATTGATAACTTATACAGTAACATTGTCGTCCGCTCAATTTCCTTCAAATATTTCAGATTAATCGGAGCGTTACAACTCAGTGCTCGCCTAATTTGCTTGCCGTACAGGCGAACAAATCCAATAACGTCACGCAAAAAGTCTTCGTTATCACCTATAGTACATAACATTCTCGTTACTATGGCCAGCATTAATTGCCAGACAGCATGATCATCGTCAGATAAACTCGGTTGAAGCCGACCTTCTTGAAGTGCAGCTGAAAGGGGATTAGTCAAAAAGAAGGCCATAATCCCTGAATTCCACATGCGGCTCGCAGTAAGAGGATGTTTCGCCAAAAACAAGAGAAAATACATTGCACTATCTGCAAACACTGGTCTATCCCTCTGTGACTGAGACAATGATAAAGCAAATAAGTTTATAAATTTCGGAATAATGTCATGTTGGTCGAGAATCTCCAGCCACACTTGTTCGTACGGTATGAATTTTGGATTCAATAGTTTTTCAAATATAGCGATAATTGTGACGACGTCCTTGCTTACTTCTCCGTTTGGAAGTCGGTCGGTGATTAACTGCGAAAGTATCGAACATATTCTGACAAGTAGTTTGTGACAGCTGGCATGAAATAGCGTCCAGGATTTGTTTTCTGCCGCTTCAATCTTGTCAATTTCCGCTCCTCGAAGACAGAGAAGTAAAGATTGTAAGATAGGACGGTGAAATGCAGGTGTTATACGTCCTTCAATAGACTCTTCAAATACACGCACGTCACTCATTATCGCATCATGCAGTAGAATAACAAGTTCAGTAAAAGACCACAGATAATTCTCGCTGTCCATTGGTGTTTGTTCTAAGAGTTTAGCAAATAAGGTGGCAAGCTCATATTTCAGGGACGATGCATCTTGATCTGTACCGACTGTAATTTTAGCCAGACTTGTACCCAATTCATTTAGCATTAACCATAACAAGTCCTTTTCTCTCTTCGGATTAAAAAAGACTGTCGAGAACTGGGCAGAAGTTAATTCAGCAAATTCCTTCCACGATCGAAGCAGGCGCATCTGAGCATCCACGCGTGATTTACGATGACTTATTGAAGCGAATGCATCCCCAATGGCTATAATATCCGCAGTGACAGGACCGCTAGACACAAATGCGCGCCTGTCATAGGCGAAGCTGTCCCCATATTGACGAGTGACATCATATTCATCACTCCAATAGAGCACACGCAGTCGTTCAAACTTTATAGAACTTCGAACCCTTTGGTTCTTCAAAATTTCCGAATCGTTCATCGACAAATTTACTTGACTGTAGAGTTGAAGCCATGTAAGCAACTTGTTCGTTTGCCGTATGTCTTCAAATGCTTTTCGCAAAGTGGGGCTTGGCAACACACTAAATGGATCAGATGACGCACATGAAGTACCTTTTCTCATCGCAAAGGCTGTCCGTATTTCCATAGATAATATTTTAAATATATATGCTCGAACTAAAAGTTTGTACCCAGACACTCTTATGAGATCGTGATGCTTTGTGTCATCACCGTTGCCAATGTTATCATCAACTAGCGCTCGTTCCGTTGAATATACGTCATCCAAACTATCAAAAAGAATTGTAGTTATTATGTTCCAGAACTTATCATTCGTTCTTAGAGCTTGCCAAGAATGAGTAGGACTTTTCCCTCCTTTGGATAAACCGTATACTAATCGAAGGGTTGCCACCAAAACAATCGGAGTCTCTTCTTGTAGAGATTGCCATTTGTCTAATATATTAAGAGCTGTCTTTGTGAGGGGATACGTCTTCACATCCTTCGAATCCTCGGTTTTCTTGCCCTTTTTGTCAGCCGTGGACGCTTCCGTAACAAATAAACCGAGCTGTGCCTCTGCAGAAACGGTGAGAAAATTCAATATAGCTGCTTGAATCATTTCATTGCCATTAAAGGTATCTTCTAATAAACGCATTAGTAATATTTCCATCTCCCTGACTTCGGTGGGCGTTCCGAAATATCCAATGAACGATTTTTGCCATTTCATGGCTACCGTAAATACCAATGTTAATATCTCTGCAACTAGCATTGGAACAAAAGAGTGCGATGATCTGAGGCATGACACTAAAACAAAAATCCATCCTTTGTTATCAGGACCGCTTACTCTATCTAGTAAAAGACTTTCTATTAAGTGCACTTGAATTTTGGCAACTTCTTGCCTTTTCAGCAACTGGAACAAAAACATCAACGACATTTCCAACGCAGAATTAGCTGCATCAAGCGTTCTCACGCTGACTGGATTTCCAGAATAAAGGCTAGTCTCACGCGCTTTTGCAATAAGTAAGAGTAATGGCATTATTTGGTGCACGCCATCATAGATAAACTTTCGCAGAACAAAATCTTGCAAAGATGTCTGTATTTCATCGTCCGAAACGTCTAACATGGGATCGTCATAAGCAGGCTCACACTCTTTGTTTGAGGTACCAATAACAATTCTCGTAAAGATTGTTAACATTTTTGAAGCTATCAAGAATCGTTCTGCGGGATCATTGTATCGCCAGTTATCGAACGACAAGAAGATGACATCAGAAATATATGAGAGGCATGATAGAAGTACGTCCAATTGAATGTCTTTAATTTTCTCCACTGCCTTTGATGTGAATAAGCATTTATGTTGCGTATGGGTCACAAGATCAAGTACCAAATCTAGGAAAGCCAAGGTCGCTGGATAACGACCTTTGATACATTCTTGCCTGAGTATGTGCTTTAATTTCCCATCAGTGTGTCCAGCTGGTGTAACGGATACTTTGCGGGTTAGTAGCACAGTCTGTCGAATGTACCAGACATCTTCGTAGTAAGCCGGTAACAGTGCTCTTAATATTTGCAAAGAGTCGCCGATCATGTCAATTGGCGGTGGTTTAATCAGCGCCAAACGATCAATTACTTGATAGAATAAAATTATTATTTCTTTCTCTGTGACCTGGAACTGCTTACTAAGATCTTCAATAAATGAATGGATATCTAGTGATATGTCGACCATAGCATTGACGTCGGGTGGTGAGGCTATATTGACTGCCAACTCCCTAATTAAAGAGATAATATCACCAATAATGGAAAAATTGTCGTCTTCTTCTGATGCAGATTTGATTAAAACCAGGTTACGTTCACCACGTGAAAATATGCTCAGAATTCTCAAAAAAAGGCTCCATGCAGAGTATGAAAACTCCCATTGCACCCTGTACTTATTCTTTGGGAGTCGTTCGACCAATAATCCCAATGTTTTTACAGGCATTTCGAGTATATTTTCATATGTGTCATCGCGGGGATCAGCTCCAATGAACTCCACTATGCCCCGCTCGATATTCAAAAAATGTATCTGCTGCTCATTAACTTCGGTAGTACATGTAGGAATGTTCCGCAAATACGTATATACATTTTCAGCAGACGTCTCGCCAGAAGCAAGGGCTGTTAACAACTGAATTAGTGAGTGAAGATCGTTCGGAAACTTTGCCGTTGCCGCATCCAATAAAACATCTCCACCATGAAAGACGTAATCCTCCCAGAACAGTGTGCTTAAACTGCTACTTCCTCTGTGCAACGCTGCAAAGCAATTCACAAAAGAAATAAACACTTCTTCTCCTAGATATTGTGGGGGTGCATGCACCATAACAATGTCCATCAAGCTTTTTGTAACTTTCTGGTATCCACCGAGATCAGTTACATCCTCCTTGAAACACGATCCCTTGATAAGGATAACTAAATCATCGAAAACACCTCTTTTGATTGATCTGATGAGATAATGCGTAGCAACGTTTGGTATAATTGTTCTTTGTACGTCATCGTATGCATCGGGACAATTTCTGTTTAATATCTCAACCAAGCTCATTGCATACGAGGCCCAAGCCAGGAGAAATAGCGAATCCAATTTGTCCTCGCTTGTATTGATAACTAGTTCAAATATTCGAACCAGAACTTGGGGCGAATGCAATAGTTTACCATTATTTGGGTGATACGGAAGCTGGGTATCTTCATCATCAAGAAATTCCTCTTCATATAGTAGAGATATTACGAGCAGTTGGCAAAGATGATGAATAGTTTCAACCAATGGTAAGGAAACTCTGTCAATATGCAACTCGATTGATTGATCAAGCCCATATCTATTTTCCGTGAAAAAAGTGAGGATATCTGAAATGCTTCTGGGTGGACAGGGTTTTACATAATATCGTAAATAAAGCAATTCTAATAATGCCTTCTGTTCCTTCAATGTCTGTTGCGTCCATCCCGATCGTGTGTATTCTGGCGGTATGCTTTTAGTATCAAACTTTCGAACTAGTTGATTAAAGATGCGGTCACCAAACGACCCCGCCTGCAAAAGTCTTTCCACAATATCCGTAGCAACCTCATGATAGAGTGTTTCGGGGTTGTCATATATCCGAAATAAATCACAGATAATCTCGACGAGTTGTATTCGTTCGGTAGCATAGTGAGAAACTACGGCCTCACGTAAGCGATCCTCCGTATATTCTGTCCACAATTCATTTTCGGCTTTGAAGCTTTGAATTAGCATTTCACATTCGCTCTTCTCAAGAAGTAATAGAGTACTTACAATTGACGCGTCATTGATATCAAATTTTTGAACAACTGGTTGTGAGATTGCTTTTAGGCTTTTCTTATCAAAACTATCGAGACACTCTTCAATATATTTGAACTTGTCGTTCAGAATTTTTCGCATTAAGTTCGGAGGACATAATGGATCTTCATATGACAATGCAGCTTCAATTGTATAAAAGGATCTGCTATATCGGTTTATTAAATTCACTTCACTACCGGTGGCAAACTGTGTCCCCGTTCTTCCTAAAGGCTTTAGCAGCGTCGGCTGTGCTGACGAGGCTGTTGCTGGTACTGGCGCTGTCGTTGCTAGTGTCGATGTTAGTGCTAGCGGAGCAGGGGGGACTAATGGGGCTGTTGGCGCCGGTGCTGCTGTTGTTGGTACTGCTGTTGTTGGTACTGGCATTCTTGGTACCGGTATTCTTGGTGCTGCTGTTGTTGGTATTGCTGATTTTGATGATCCTGCAACAGAAGAAGCATCAATTCCAAAGCGAGTTGGTGTCTGAAGGAAAGGATTGACGCCTGTTCGTGGGGTCTGAATAACTGGAATGGAAGCAGCCATTGGTCGAGGGGTGGAAGGGGATCCTGTGAAAGAGTTGCTATTAGAAGCTGCGGAAGTTGTTTGCGAGTGAAAAGACATAATTTGCAGTAATCTTTTGCAGCGCGGCCTTTGGATTAATGCTTATATATTTAACGTTATATTTAATGTTAGTAGATTTTTAAAGGCAACCGATTTGCATGGTCTTTCGGTATAATTTATATTCTTGACATGCGGACGACGCGATAAAATTAATCATGGCATTAAATATCATCCAATCACAAATTACGTCATCAGATCACACTTAAAAAAATTCACATTCTGCAAAACTTGCTCTTTCCCCCATCATACCATATCTCTGCGAGACCGGCTAATAGCTCAATCCATCCATCTTATTAACGTTATCAATAGGTTGAAATGGTATTGTATTCGTCTGAAATAATCTTGTCAAGTCTTTCCAACGGTGTAAATTAAAGAGAATGCATTTAAGAAGAGTCGCACTTTTATGGGAGAATAGTAGAGGTCTCGTAAACTTAGGCAAACCAATAGAATACATTAGAGCCTTCTGTACCTGCTGGCCAAATCTTTATTTTTGAAGATAAACGTTATTCAGTAGAAATTACGGCCAAGACGGAAGGATACATCTGCGGATTATCTTTCTAATCACATTACGGCTTTCTACTTTGAATATTCTTTGTTGAATACTCTGTAGAAGCCACTAGAGCAAAACATAAGGAAAAAGACTTTCTAACAAAGTTTTTATGTTTTGTCTCAATGACCCCCAATATTCACCAAACAATTCACGTTTGGGTGAATTGACTATTTTTCTCCTGGATAATGATAGGCAAAAACCAAGCCAGGCTCGAAGAGGGTAGCCCCAGCACCTTTTAGCGCAAAAAAAAAAGATACAGGGAAGGTCGTTAAGAATCCTTTAATTGAAAAGCGACCGAGAAATTTTGGAATCGGTTAGTATTGTACGTCATGTTGATAAACATCTCAATTGCAAAATATAAATATAAACAATTTGAATGTCGTCCTTTGTTCACAGGTCAGGATATTCAGCCGCAACGCGACTTAACTCGCTTTGTAAAATGGCCCGAATATGTACGTCTCCAGAGACAACGTAAAATCCTCAATCGACGTCTCAAAGTTCCTCCCGCTATCAACCAATTTACGCGTGCGTTGGATAAGAATACGGCTGGGCAAGTGTTCGCTCTCCTCCACAAATACCGCCCAGAAACCAAAGTCGACAAGAGAAATCGTCTTCGCGCAGCTGCGGATGCTAAAGCTAAAGGCAAGGAAGCCACCAAATCTGAAAAACCGTATGTCGTCAAATTCGGTATCAATCACGTTACTGCTTTAATTGAGGCTAAGAAGGCGAAGTTGGTTTTGATTGCTCACGATGTGGATCCTATTGAGATTGTCCTATGGCTGCCAGCTCTTTGTCGCAAGATGGGTGTACCCTATGCAATTGTCAAAGGAAAGAGTCGTTTGGGAACTGTCGTTCACAAGAAGACTGCGACTGCGTTGGCCATTGTTGACATCAAAGATGAAGATAAGAACTCGCTGTCAAATTTGATTACTTCTATCAAGATCAATTACAATGAAAAATTCGAGGAAAGTCGTAAGCAATGGGGCGGTGGTGTTATGGGTGCCAAGTCTCAAGCTATGATGGCTAAGCGAGCAAAGGCAGCCGGTAAAGATAGCAAGAAATTTGAAATCTGAATAATTAAAATAAAAACAAAATCTGCATACAATTCTTTGGCCCATTCTGAACGTTTCATGATGGTTTATGATGGTTTACCGAAATAATGTTGATTAGACTCACCGAAATGACCAATTTTTGAGGACCCGTGACAATTAATGCTGTAAGGCATTATCCAGATATACATGAACAGATTGATTCATTGAATCGATCTAATGCTTAACGTTCATGATCGACCAATAAAGTGAGATCGAAACGCGCACTTACTAAATGCTGGTTGATATTTTAATTCCCCGAACTTTGCAATAGTGATAAAAGAGTAGTAGTGGTGAAACTTTCTATATCATAAAACCACCCTGCTTGACACCATAGAGAATGTCTTTATGCGGAAACGAGTATTTCCTGTCATTAGTCATAGTATCAACTACTTCAATTAACAATATGTTGCGGAACTGCTCGTTATAATAATGGTATTAACGACGATCATGATCTCCATGTAAGCTAATAAAAGAAAGTTCTACAGTGCTGAAAAATATGTACATTCGTAGATACAATTGCGATGGTGTGTGTTGCATTCTATATACAATGTTAGCTTGAGCCACTTGAATCGCGAGTTTGTAGCAGGACACTACGTAGTCCAGATTGCAATAACCACGACTTCCATCAAAGTCCTCTCTACAGTAAGAACTCATGATGAATGACCAGACATCACATGATCAATCGCTATGTGTATAAATAGCAACGCGCCATGGCTTCTAATATTAAAAAAAAAGGTGCTGTCGTTCGATAGTCATACTGCTGCTGTGGGGAATCGACTGTAGCATAAATTATCAAATTAATATATCGTTAAGACCCATGAAAATACTTTTTTTGGTAAATGAATACATAATAACTTTTAATGCGTTTCGTGTTGACGTTCACTATAAACTGCATTTCAATGAATTGGTTTCTGGGCTTGCAAATTTAATGATCGAATTCAATATATGAACACACAACCATTTTGACTCGTTATAAAGAAATCCTCAGTAAGAACCGTGGCATAGAAAACCTTTCTAATTATTTCTTAACATATAGTACTGTGAGGTAGATCCCAAGCCAACCATTATTTTTAGCTTTGTTAGTGAGGCATGAGAGTTATTATAAATAATACAAAAAGTTTCTCATAAGTCCATTGCTTGGAACATTCCCGTGCAAGACCTGCAAACCCACTGATAATTGCCACTCTGAATCCCGACACTTATAGTTTCCAGATTCAGGCGACGTTGCGTGACAACTACCAGTAAACAAGTGTGGGAAGAGGTTCCCCTCCGCCAGGCTGTCGAAGCCCACCGTCAATTGCCACTCTGAATACCGGTGCTTCTAGTTTCAGGCTACGTTGCGTGACAACTAACGGTCGACAGATTAGAGGTGCAATTGTGCGAGAATTTTTTCATGTTTTTCATTTGCTACAAACCACTTGGGTTTGTGAACGCGCATTTTATGAATTTCAAAACATGTCACGTCTGGTAGTTGGTATCAACTTCAGAACATATTGCCTCAAACGAAAGAAACACTCTTTTTTCGTGAAAACGGATGCCCGTCTATGGTCATTCCAAAATTTTTATTCTTCTATTATTTACTCTGAGGATGCGCCAAAGCATTCAATGAAATTCTTATTACAACTTAAAAGTTATTCAAAAAGCAAGAAATATTCCAAAGCCAATTACCAGCTCTGCGAGAGATCTAATTAAGTTCAATGGTACTGGAGAGTTTGAAAAAGTACGGCGCTCTTGCGAACAGATTTCCAGACCCACTTACTTGCAACCCTTTCAAGTGGGTCAGTGACGAAAAGCGAAATGGCACAAGGTTACATGAAACAAGACGAGGAAGACGAATTATATGCTCAAATTTCACAAAACTTTGATGCAACATAGCCAACTTTAAATGTTAGTATGGTCAATAGTCGACTAATCAATTTAATCATCATGCTTTTCATGTTTCTTTGGAAGGACTTTAATCAAGTGTACAGTGATGACGAATTACCAGGTTACGATGGATCGATATTTTTATTTAATGATTCGAACGAAGATAAAATTATAGAAAAATTGATGAAAATACCCTCGAGGAGGAAAGAAAATTGCCACTACAAAGTAAGATCTTAATGTACTTAGTAAACGCATTATCTACCCACAATAGGATTCATCGGAATTTATATTTGATGAAATGTTGAACGCATTCCAAACATATCAAATTAAGATTCCTAAAATCCGCAGAGTGTACACGTATGCATGGCATCCTTTTTAAGATCATGCCTGATTAATATCTGATTATTAACCAATCTTACTATTTATATTTCACAGCCCTGCGTATTGGGGGGGGTGCTCGATCTGACCAGAGAAAGTCTATACGGATGCAAAGAAATTACAGAAAACGATTTACAGCAATTATCCCAAGACTTCGCTGATCATATCAAATGGAAATGCGAATTGGCCAGATTTTCAGGATTACTTTGACAGTAGTTGCAAAAAACTTGGCAATAGCGATGAGAAAACCATTTTGCTAATATTCTTGTATTTATTTGACGTTTGTTACCTTACGCGTAGGCTGTTCGATACAATCGAATATTCTTACATTGATTCACGTCGTAAGCAAATCGGTACGTTACGAGTGTGGACCGGTTAGACATCATTTACAATCACGTCGTCGCGAAGAGATGTGTCCGCTGCATTCCTAAGAAACAATGACAATGCACTGACTAATCTCAATGAATCACTGCAAACAATGAAGTAGTAATGCGTTGAGTAACCGCGCGTTAGCGTTACTATATTTCTTTAGAAAAAAGTTCTATCTTTGTATTATGGAGTTCACGAAAAGCATGAATGTGGCAATGAAGGTCAGAAAAAAATTGCGCCGGCTAGTGGGGAAGGACAGTGCAAAAAGCGAATGCCAATGTGTCTCTAAGTTACTATTCCTGCTTATGGACGTTATAAGTTTCTTCTACATGTACACATGTCTGCTTTTCGAATAAATTATGCGAATTTCAATTGTGATGTAAAAGCCCACACGATTATGTTATTATTATCCTTATGGTTATTTGTTATGCTGGGTACTGTGATTTTTGAATGTTTACTTTGTCTGGTTTGTTGCAGTCTGTTCCATGTAATGTTTATTGCTCTGAACAATATGACGAAATAAACCCAGACGGAATGAGGTTTTACTTACGCAAGGTTGATATGCTTAACAATGAAAATTGATTGTAACAATCTTATTGTTAAATGTTTATTCCCAACATTAATGCTATTTGGCGTTAGTGGCGTTCTATTAATATAAATGGCACGACATGACCATGGGTATTCGAATTACTCACCCAAAATTGCCTTTTTTGTTACACAATATTAATATACACACGCGCGCCCATAATCCATGACCTCATCAGTCATGTCATTCACGGAAGCAACCAAGAGCGAATTACAAGAAGTACGTAAGAAAGACCTGATTAATACTTGAACACTGTCACCAAAATTGCAACTCACACTATAACTCTTACGCAGACAGACGCAACAGTTGAACTGACTGAGAGCAGTACACAAGAATTTGAGACAAAGCAATCTGAAAAGGGAGACGGAAAATACGTTGAAACGAAGATTCCTAAAAATAATGCCAAAGAGATCAGTGAAACCCCACAGCTAGTGACTGAGGAAGTGAAGATAGACTCTGCATTAAAAACTGATACAGTGACTAGGAGCCCATTCAGTGTCGAAGACATTGAAACGAAGATTCCTAAAAATAATGCCAAAGATATCAGTAAAACCGCACAAGCAGTGACAGCTTGGACTGAGGAAGTGACGATTGACTCTGCATTAGAAACTGACACAGTGACTCAGAGTCCGTTCTGCGTCAAAGACGTTGAAACGAAGATTCCTGAGAATAATGCCAAAGAGATCAGTGAAACCCCACAACTAGTGACTAAGGAAGTGACAATTGAATCTGCATTAGAAACTGATACAGTGACTCAGAGTCCGTTCCGCGTCGAAGACGTTGAAACGACAATTACTAAAAATAATACTAAAGAGATCAATGAAACCGTGTCATCTGTGTCGGAGGAAACGAAGGTAGAGTCTGAATTAAAAACTGATACGGTGACTGAGAGTCCATTCAGTGTCGAAACAAAGACTAAAACCGCATCTCAGGATTTGACTGAAGAGGAATTTGTTGATGATTTTACGATTGCTGATAGCAAAGAAGAGCTTAACAATAAGGTTGAAAGTGGATTTGACGATCAGTTTGAAATACTAATGCAGTCTGTCGCGCTTGACAGCCAAGAAAAGGTAGATGCCGTTACATCCGTAGAGACCGTCAACAAGATCATTGAAGGTCAAGAGCAAGAAGATGCGCTAACCTATTATAGACGACTATCTGATCAGATTCAGGGCGAGAATTTTAACATGAAGCAGAGAGATGAGTTTTCGCGTAGCATTTCAACAGTAGCAGTTCCGGTTTTCAGCGCCGAGACGGTAGAAGGGTCTGCTTCCGCGACGATTATTTCTGAGGACGACACTGTAGCAGACGAATTTGAAAAAAATTTTGAAACATACGTTGAAAGGCCTTCAATAAAAACTGTACCTTTGCCGATCAACGAGGATAACGAGCCTCCTACTGTCTACAATAAGTTTCTAGATGAAGTGGTTATCACAAAGAATATCGGTGACGTAATTATTGATGCTGATGGAACAAGCGGGTTCACCAAAACCCAACAAGCGGTCGAAGACCTTGATAAGATTATATATAACGAGAGCGCATTAGAGTCAGAACAGGACATTGTATCCGAAAATACTAACAGTGATACACAAACTCCAAGTATTGCTGAGATTAGGAGTGCTACTGGGAACTCTAATGAATTCGCGTTGCGGGATGATACTTTGCTACATGTCGTTACAGAAACTACAGATAATACGGATAATTCAGAAAAAGTTACATTCTATCCGGAATCTTCTGAAATTCGGGCTGTTCCTCATCGGGTATCCGTCCAAAGCCTTGACGGAATTCTTCCACCGCCAGAGACTACTGAAAAAATTTCTCTAACAGAAGAAACTCGACGCATAGAGGGAATAGATTATACTAAGAACGATCTGACCGAAGACAATGACATATTGGATGTTAATGTCAAAGGTGAATTTCTTTCTCAGTTGCATACAGCAATACGAACGAGGACAGTTGACGTGATTAATGAAGTTGAGGAACGTGATGTAAAAAATAATAAACGTAATGAATTACTCGAGAAAGAGGCTAACGTGATGGAAACAAAAGAGGAAGCTATGATACGAACGGGCCCGGTTGATAAAGTTGAGGAACGCGAGATAAAGGAAGTAAGAAATGATAAACGTGAGGAATTACTCGGGAAAAAGGTTTATGCGACGGAAACAAAAGAGGAAGAGGAAGCAATGATACGAATGATCCCAGTTGATAGAGTTGAGGAACATGAGATAAAGGAAGTAAGAAATAATAAACATGAGGAATTACTCGAGAAAGATATTTATGTGATGGAAGCAAAAGGGGAAGCAATTATACAAACGAGTCCCGTTGATAAAGTTGAGGAACGTGAGTTAAAAGAAGTAAGAAATAATAAACGTGAGGAATTACTTGAGAAGGATGTTTATGTCATGGAAGCAAAAGAGGGAGAGGAAGCAGTGATACGACTGAGTACAGTTGACGTAACATATAAGGCGGAGGATGGAATTGTATCAGAAGTAACAGAGTCAAAACAAGAGGATGAAGAACACCATGAAGCATGGGAAACGAATGCACGAGAGGATGGGGTGGCTATATCAGTACAGACAACGAAGGTTGAAGTGGTTGACGAGAGAGAAAATGTTGGAGATAATTCGGTAATCGCAAAGAGTCAGGATAAAGACAAAGAATACGAAGACCTGGATGGTAAGAAGAAAGTAGAGAAAATGGAAGAACAAGAGAAGACACATGCGTATTCAACCTCTCGAGGGGCTTCTATACTGAAGTGGCCTGATAATTTGAATACGAGAGCAGTTGCAAATATGGAAACGCAAGTGTTTCAACCGAAAGACGAAACTGTAGAACAAGGAAGATCTACAGAGGAAATGCATAATTTGGCAATGACGGAGAATTCTAGCAAAGCCGAAGAATGTGAAGAACTGCATGCCGTCTTGAAACCCAAAGCAGATGTGTCTCAATCGCAAGACGAGAACGTCGAAGAAACAAGTGCGAACGAGAAAATGTACATACATTATAGCAAAGATGGAGAGGTGATGGAAGCGGAAGAAGAGGAGCAAGAGGAAGAAGAGGAAGAAAGCCCGATGACAGATCGTGATGATGGTAATAATTTGCGCGTAAATCTTTCTGTAACGCTTTTTAGTGTATTTATAAATCTGTGTCTTTACCGTCTTAATATCTAGATCTGGCTACCCGATTGTTTGAAAGAAGACCACAGACTTTACTTGATCCGACATCGTTTACTCCGGCGTCTATGGCGGAAGATGTTTTTCATTCGATGTTTAACCCTGGATTCAACAACAATGTGATTCGATTCATTAATATTATATTTCTGATACAGTTTGCCATCTTTGCATTTATGGCCATTATATCCCAGCATCCAACTGTATACTTGTTGATAATGCTGTCATTTATGTTGTTTATTACGTTGCATGTGTAAGTACTATGTAGTAATCGTCTGCATTATTACCAATCACTTGGCTAACTGATGAATTGTGAATGTTGTTAATACAGATTCGTTGCAGTCGTAGCAAAAATGCAAGCAGAAGAAGCTACCGCGAAGATGAAAGAGGAGTGAAATTGAGGACTGCAATGATACTAGGACCATTAATATTGACGACTGTTATCGCTGTTAATAATACTAATTTGCCAATTTTTTACTGAATTAATACGAGAGTTGCCAATGGGGGCTTAACAAAACCAATTCTGGTGAGAGTTTTAGTTTTTCTCAAAAATTAGCACTTATACCAAACTTGTAAATTGCATTGCTGCTTGATATTGCATTATAATAATAAACTTTGAGTATTTATCCGTCGCTTTCACACAGTTATCCGCAATAGTTTACGTTCCGTTGTTGTCATCGAACCCAAAGAATACATTTCAATAATGATAGCAAAGTCATGACTTAAGGCCAAGCAATATACGTTATAAAATAATATTTTTGCTCGATTTATTAAAATGCAATAACCATAGACACGGTAAAAATGAATACGGAAGGCTTTATAAGTAATTCTATATCGCTTGTTTAAAAAAGTTGATCCTTCAGATTTTAACCACAAGTTTTGTGTCATGTGACAAGATAAAAAATGAGTCGGCAGGGGGAAAAAAAAGAGAACTTTGTAATAAACTTCGCTTTACAAAATTATTATTATTCTGTCTTGATATTTTGACTTGTCTTAACAGTTATTCTCTATGTTATGCATGCTCCTTAGATCCCTAACTATGGTGTATGATGCACCAGCTCATTAGTTAGGCTTGAGTCATTAGCGTGCAAGATAAAATGAGTATTCTTCTGTCGAGTTATTCTACAGAAGAGGGTCTCTACTTACTGCCGCACGCGTTAGTCAAGAAGAGGAATTTCTGGTGGTCTATTCACGACTTCGCAGAACAATGTTCCATCTTGTTTGTCGGCGGCTGAATACATGCCTGAGGAATGGATGTTTCTTAAGCTTGTATATCTTCATGATTCAGACACTGATTGAGTATACCGAGTTGTCGTAAAAGCGAACGTCAGGTTTATACAATTTAGGAAGAGATTAGTTGATTTGACGATGCATAGCGATAGCACATATACCAATAACAACGGCTATTTATAGCATTATATGATACGAATCGCTGTAGTTCTAGATATAGTCCTTGAAATAATTTATACACGATACGACTTGAGAAGCGTAAATACTACAATAAACATTGAATATGAATCGTTGAATAGTCAAAAAATTAAAAAAAAAAATTGCTATCTTTGGCCGCTTCCATGTCACATGATATGCGAATACTATGATCCAATCACATACATGGGATCACACATATACATTCATGAAAATTTTTCGATCTCGCGTTTTCTTTTTTAGATTTCAACGACATATCTAACAACTTCATAAAACCACTAATTTCAATAAAAAGAAAATGCTAAATTCGTTTACTCGTATCGTTCGTACTCGACAGTCGACTTTTTCCTCGCTTCGTCCTGCATTTTCTTCACCCATTACCCAGTTTGTCCGTGATTACACTGTCTACTTTGGCAATCTATCCTTCGATGCGTCAGAACACGATCTCAAAACTCTTGTTGACCGATTTGATGTGAACGTGTCGGTACGAATACCAAGGGATAACTTGGGCCGAACGAGAGGGTTTGGCTTTGCGGATTTTTCGCAGGAAGATCAGGCCAATCAAGTGATAGGCGAATTGAATGGAACGAATTTTATGGGTCGAGAACTGAAAGTGAGCCGGGCTCTAGAGAGGTCCAACACGCCGAGGGATGGTGAGTATTTCTAGAGGACAGAAATGCGTGCGGAGAGTATCAATCAGAAATGGGATTATCTATCAACGTGATCCTATTGGGTATTGTTGACAGAACGTGTTTGTGTTTAGTTGATTAATCATCCCTCTCTCGCTTTTTATGTAATTAGGCGGTAGATACTGAGATGGCATCAACCATCCACCTGAACACTTGACATATACGCGTGACTTGGAAACTACAAGAGACGGCAAAACTGTCGAGTTTTCGCTTATATATAAATTGTATAGGATTTATTCATAAGATGTGCTAAAGTATTGACATTATTCATTTGAATCAATTTTATTTGATATGTAAGTGAAACTATTAAAATTGTGTTGATGAATGATTGCAAATGATTGATCATATTGTTTGATAAGATTGTCGTCTGCATTTAAGTTACGTGGGGTTTAAACTGTTTTAGCCGACTGTCTATGCTCTCTACTGCAAGAATATGGCATGTTAATATTAAAGCAACAACAGCAATAAGTATGAATACACATAATCTATAATATATAGCAATTTCTCTAAACAGTGGATATTGTGCTGGATATGTCGTCTACTTCGTTCGACTCGTCATCAGACTAGTAAGTAAATATGGTGCACGTGAGTAAGAATAAGTTTACGTGAATGAGACTACCCCAGAGTCCTGAATGCTACTTACAATAACGTAATCTCTAATAATCCTTGCCTTCTCCTCGTCCCAGTAAGTCCACATGCGTCGATATATGATCGACCAGACATACGGGCAAAAGAACTCGTGAGAATCCGAACCTTCACTATATTTGAACTTTAAATCGGGAGAATCTTTCAGTCTCCCAGGTGGCCACGTTCTTGTGGCAGTCTGTATTATTTCTGTTACTTCTTCAGTTGACGGTGCACGCAAGTTTGCCTCAGCTATACGTATATGGAAGTAAGATATAACCTGCATTTATAGTGGAGTAGTTAATGCAATATTATGAGTAATGTATGCCATAAAGATATTCACAATATCCCTAATTGCCTGCCTGCTTACATTATCAACATTATCAATTAATTCGGAAAATCTCTTATACTTTTGGAATCGTAAGAACGTATCCTTTTTATGGAGAAGCGAATAAATAAGTTGTGGGTTTTGTGCTAACCGTCGTGTGAGAATCGAATTTATGATCTCAAGGATCAAGCAAACCAAGTCGCCATATATTATATAGTCAACCTGCTATAAGAGGAGAGGAGAAATTATTATGGCATTTAGCATTACGAGAATTATGAAAATTATAAATCTTGTTGATGGAAAAAATTGCGTACGTTGTCATCATTATTCGCTTCTCGTGCTCTAGTTCGCAACTTTTGGTATTTTTTGGTAACTATGTCAAACAAGCTATGAAATAACGGTAATTAGTGTCATTTCAAATAGTCAACGTTTCCTTGTCATAAACTCACTTGACAATTCTCTGAGCTACATAAGGTTGGATATCGGTAACAGTACTTGCTATGTTCGCAAGTATGGCTATGCAGTGAGTATGTATGTATAAGTCCTATAGAGAAAACCTGGTTAACTTCACTCAAATAATAGCATGTTCTTTAGAGACTTAGATTCGTGACTCACCCGATGAGAAGTAAGATTGAGTTGAATCATCCGTATTAGCACAAGATAAACCAATCCTCCAAGCGATATTTGCTTCAACAGTCTCTCTGTAAGCCACGACTGATATGGTATTTGCTGTTGACATAAAACCTATGATTAAGGAATGATTTTATGGTTTCATTCATAATATTAAAATTGTTCCTTATTATATTTCATAATTAAAGGATACTACTTTCTGGATGTTTTCGTTGAACACATTGTCTTCACTGAAAATAAGCAAAATAGCTAGACAAATATAGACTTGGGGATAATTGGGTCTTCTCTCAATCGCTTCGTAGAGCAGACGGAGTATTGGTAGCAGCTAATGAACGATCATAAAAAAAGGAATTATAAGTTTCTGCAAAAGTTGATTCAACGTAAATACACAACCCATTGACTAAACCATTAAAACATACGAATATTTCAGGATCGGAACGAGATAAAACATATGCTTTGAATTCATTGTTTTCAATCATTAATAAATAAAACAAGAGACATATTTCTTCTGACGGTAGTTGCCTAACAATGTTATAAGAGAGCTTATCAGTAATGTATGTTCTCTATTTACAAAGATTTTCAACATGGCTCACTTACTGGTAGATTACTCGATATAGCAGTCGAAATGAGATCGCACTGTCTTGGTCTTTGGAACCTGGAATAGTCACACGATTTATTAACATCTTAAGCCTAATTTATTCAACGGTTTACCATATTCCTTACCCAGTTCGTCCTTCAGTCTTGCTATGGAATTCCTAAACTCATTGCCACCCTTACCACCAAATTCACCCGGCTGTACAGCCAAGAGTAATAAAAGAATAAAACTTCTTTCCGGTACAGGGTGTGGATCTAATGATAATGCGGTGGGTGATTTGGACGAAAACAAATAAGAGTATGCGTTGTACACGACGTCTACATTATAAACAGAAATTAGTACGAAAACATTACCATGGACAAGATATAAGTGTAATATGTAATGAATCTTACTTGTCGATACAGGCGGCATTGACTTTTGCTCAATTAAATTGGTCACTAAGCGGTTGGTTAAGTCGTTGATAAGATGACTGGTTGATTTGGTTTTTCACTTTTTTTTTAGTCATGAAACACTGTCCCCCCATGAAAAGCATAATGTAAGTAGTATCACTGTGTTGAAGTGTATGCAGTAGCAACCCACCTAAACTTGGAGAATAAGATAGCGAGAAAATAGTTGTCGCCACATGATGCTGATAGTTGATGCAATTGTGTTGATACGAGAATCACGAAAGTATTCAGACATTCTTGGTAGTATTCATAAGCCGTAGCGCTCGCACTGGTGAATTATATTGCAGACGCAGTTAATTAACATTGGTATTATTAAATAAATACAAATTGATTACGTACACCGGATTCAAGTATAAAATGACGGAAATTAAGGCATCCAGTAGCTGCTCAGCCATAGGACGCGAATCATGAAGAATTTTTGGATCAATCGAAAAATTATTAATATTTTGCTCATGTTCATCCGCAAAAGATTCGGAGCCGCCAGCATTGTTACGCGCTGTTATGGAGAGAGATTAAAGTTTTAATAAAGCGAACATAATTGGAACCAGGCTACTAAAAACATTGAATTCAATCTACCTTCAAAATGGCAGTGGATTTCATCACCAGTTAAACTGCAAATAAACTGTTTGACGAATATATGCACCAAGAAGAGTGAATTATATGCTTCTACGGGAACCTCTCTACGAATAATTCGGTTATCGTGTAAATAATTTACAAACGTGACTGGTTGATCCAACAAAATGCGAAAGTTTTACCCCGTGAAATCTTGATTCAATAAACGATACATTTGATTCAACGTGTGTTGAAGAAGCGTGTTAAAGTTTTTTGTCTTTCTGTTGTTAGATACTACGAGTTGTATGTTAATGAGAGTCGTTTACGATTAGTAGATCGATGCGATCTTACAAAGACAATAGCTTTCCTTACCCAATTCGATAGCCAAGCTCACAGTAGCCATGTCAATATCAAAGGCATCTTGTCTAAACAAAACGTTTTGACCAGTTTAGCACACCTAATAATAATTCAGGCACTCTGCATTGATTACTCACCCAGGATCGATCACGGGAAACTTCTGCACGCTAAGCATAGATTCCCACGTCTCGCTGTCGTCAATAGCTATGGTTTTATCCGAACAAAAATGTTTCAAAGATCGATATTGTTCCGATGTGAATACTGTAATTTCCGTCAGAGATTTACGTTGAACGATTGAAATTGGAATGGCTAGTTGTGTTGTAGATCCTGACGCTCGACGACTGCCTGAAGGGGATGGAGGATTCAAACCATATGGGCTTAAAATCGGAGGTGGCAAACCTACAGTTGCCGGTGAAGTTATACTTGGTTGTGGAAAGAGAAGTTCAGAATGATCAGTGTCTTTCGTTGCAAGGTTAAGAGGGAGTGGAGCTTTGCGGTCGTGTAAAGAAGGTGTTTGAGTATGAGAAAGAGTAGGGCCTTTGAAGGTAGAGGTTGAGGCTGATGTAGGTGGACTTGTGACTTGGTAAGTGGCATGAGTCGAGACCCTGTATAGTTGTGGTGGACGAGCTATTGGTTTCGAGTCTCCTGTCGTTGAAGACATTAGGGAATCAAGGTTGGCATGAACCAGCGTAATGTGCAGTATGTTTAATGAGTGGGAATTTGAATAACAATGCGGTATATAATCGTGATGCGGCTCAGTGTATATAAGCGATACTTAATGTCAAGATGCGAAGCCGTCAAACCAAGTTGATATGTGTTAGTTGGAGAATGGATTGATCACAAGTACCACGTGGTACAATTATCGTTACAAGATCATCGTTACTATTGTAGGAATTTGTTTCATTAGATATGCAATTGAGCACAAATTTGAAGTAATCCATGTACGTTTTTGATTGACCATTGTCCGCGTCAATTCAGAAAAACTAACATGTCTTTGATTTTCTGTAAGCCAATAATACGGATAGGGACTGCTGCCATAATCATATTACTAAATGGGGCAACATTAAGCACAAACAGTAGCTTTATGATAGCTTGCGCCTGTTGGCGGAATATATTATGACGAATATTCGTCGACTTCTGCTCGTATTCCAGAACGCATTCCGGTTTTGAGACTATTGCTAACGCTAATAATGTTCTCTCGCTAATAGTTGGATTGTTTGTGTTACTCTATGTACTAGCATACTCATGAATTGATCGCATTGGACCCAACCACTGTAGATGCATAAGCAGGAGTTCTGTAATGATTCCAGATTTAATCGTCTAAACGGATAAAGCATGGATTAAATTGCCATAGTAATAGTAAGTTAGCTAATTTATACCATATTTGGCAACATTATGCCATCCCTAAGCCCTTGCTGTAAATAAAAATGACGAAACAAAAGAGTCCAGTGAATCCGATGGTTAATCCAAACATCCATGGTAAGAATATCTGGATGCATTAACAGAATTGCGTGCTTCGAGGCGATGCCGACGCTCGTTCAATTGACGAGGTCGATACGTGCCAAACGTGGAATCCAACAATTTCGGCATTTTTTACCTTTACCGCTCAATTATTTCGTGATTCTGGGCTTATTAATATACAGCGATATGATACCACAAGCTGGCTAAGATGTCGGTTCAATGATATTACATTTTATTTAGCTGGTTCATCTTTACAACAGCGTTTTATGTACTTTTCTACTCATTGGGTTGCCGCTTATAATTCTAAAATTCTCAATGCTAATTGGTAATATATTAATAATTAATAATATTTGTTTGGTTGAGTATGTGATGATACTTTTTCGTAAAAAGCAAACATTTTATTATTGTTATTAAAAACAATAAACATCTTATTATTATATTCCCGCTGCACCAAATTGTATAGCTTTCGAAAGTTAGTTAACCTTCTTCACTATACATATATATAATATAACAGCAACGGCAATAATGTTTGGACTTTAGGTATTGCCCAGCACGCATAGTAATAGCACACATACCGGTGATAGGTATAATAATGAAGAATAGTAAGAGTAAATAGTAAATACATTGTTACCGGATTGCTAGCGTGGTCTTCCCCCTCCTTGTTGACGGACCAGAATACTGGTTTTAGAATTTTGTGACGTCATGTTCGCTGGTTTTTTTCAACATCATATAAATTAATTCTTTCTTTGTGCTTCTACAAAAGAGGTTGAAGAGTCTAATTAGCGTTCTGCATTCTTTCACAAGACCTGAAGTTGTCAACCAGATCTTTCTTACTACTTCTGGCGCAACGTAGAGGTTATAGTCCTTGGTGACAGCCATGATGAGCGGAGGGTATATAGGTTCCAAGATCAGTTTGATATCGCGGTCAGATATACGTTATGTCGGCATCCTGCACAGCATTAACTCTACCGACTCGACGGTTGCTCTTGAGCAAGGTTACATTGATTATTGCGTTCAAGCTTCTCGTTAGTGGAGGACTCGTATTGGCAAACACAAACTCACAAATCTAAAATAAAAAAAAATTTTTTTTAATAGAATTCATATATACGAGTTTTTACACTAATTTTATTCAAACTTGTCATTGATCTGGTTATGTTCCGTTTTGCTTGCTGTAGTGCGCTCGTACGGAACAGAAGGTCGAAAAGGGAATCCTGCTGAGGAGATACCACCCTCCGATAATGTGTTTGGTTACATAGTTTTCCGAGGTTCGGATGTAAAAGACTTGCATGTTTGTGAAGCGCCAGCACCCCCACCTTCTTTACCTCCTCAAGTTCCCAACGATCCTGCTATTCTTGGGGTAAGTCAATTGCAGGTTTTTAATTTCTTATATAGACGAAGGACATTCCGTTTGCGCAGATGGCAATTTTAAGTAATGGGATAATGATGAAAGAACTACGGATGTGAATTTCTAAACTGAATGAAAAAACCAATATGTTGATGCTTCCGTTGCCTTCCTTCTGAGTAATTTAAACGAAAAACCCATTACTTACTTCGATGGCGGTTTTTCAGGCAATTTTGGCAAAGTAATTATACTGAGTATTCGTTCATTCTTCAATGTTTGTAGACGACTGCTCCGCGACCGCCAAATTTCCAAAATTTTGGTCCACCACCGCTGAATGTACAACCACCAAATTTTCCTGGTGCTCAGATAAATCCATATTATTTGCAGCAAGCTGCAGCAGCATTCCAACAGCAACAATATTGGCAACAGCAACAGCAACAACAGCAAGCTAATCAGTCGTCTCAGGTAATTATTTCATGCTATTCTTGGAAAAAGTCGATGTTTATAGTTATGGTCAAATATTTCGAAAAATGAACTTGTTCATTCGTAATTACTGACGCTTTTTCGTTTGACCGCCTTGTAACAATCTTAAACACATTTGTTGTTTCAAACATTTAAAGCTAAACGTTGGTGAAAATGCAACCCGAGAAGTCGAACAGCAGAAAACACAGTTACAGGTTTGATAATCAAGTAGGACTTGTTAATATTAATTATCCTTACTTTAGCACGTTAACAGTCACCTTCGTTCTTACAGAAGGAACATGCTGGACCCGATAAAGCTGAAGACCATAAAGTAGAGAATCAAAATAGTGGAAATAAAAGTGTTTCCAACAAAACCGGTTCTAGCTCGCGTTCTGCGGTAGGACATGTAGCAAATGCTCGCAATGACAGTATAAAGGAAGCATCCGCTGCTGCCGTGGAGAAATTGGCGAAGAGTGTCAGCGAGTTGAATGTCATGGAGACTAGTGTATCTCCTTCATCCAATTCTGTCCCTGCGAACGATCGGCAACCGAATTTTCATGGTAAGCCAACGATAAATAACATTGACTATGTGTCCAGTTTATTCTACAATAACATCATGGCTACATGTTTCAGGTCACAGCCAAAATCGATCAAACAATAACAGATTACCTGGCATGGGCGGTCACCTCCTTCAGCAACCTCGACGTGGTCGTGGTAACCGGCGGAACTATGGTCAAAATTACGATCGTAACCGTGTATCTGTCCCAACATCTGACTTCGATTTTGAATCGTCAAACGCTAAATTCAATAAAGAGGAAATTGTAAAAGAAGTTGTAAAGAAATCTCACGTCAGCCATGATGGAAAAGATGGAAAGGACGTAAAGGAGGGAAAGGAGGAAGACATCACGCAAGTCGAAGACGAGGAGGAAGAAGAAGTGGTTATACCGCCTGCCGAAACTTTTTATGACAAAACTAAATCATTCTTTGATAATATTTCTTGTGAAACAAAAGAGCGATTGGAACAGCAAGGTCCTGATGGACGGTACGTATTAATACGTAAAGTCTTTTAAGTATCCAGCCATGCAGACCTTGTTACCATTTTTTTTATATATAGACGCGGATTGTCCGTTGCCGAGCGAAGGCAAAAGCAATCGGAAGAAAGGCGCTTGAATCTTGAGACGTTTGGACAAGTTTCGATTGACGGCGGAAGGTACCGAGGTGGATATCGCAGTCGTGGATATCGAGGCGGCGGCGGAAGGGGAGGATATCGTGGTGGTCGTGGAGGCGGCAGCGGTGGAGGAGGTGGCGGTGGAGGAGGATTTAGAGGGGGATACTCAAGCAATTACCGAGGAAACAATTTCAGGGTATGCCTTTTAAGAACATGATCTATCGTTGTTTTGTAGTCGAGCGATTCACTTATTTTATTTACCCTATATAGCATTAATTGCCGAGATCTAATAATAATGCAAGAGTTGGCGCAGTTAATACATCTTACACAAGAAAATAATTAGACGAGGAAACAAAATATATCGAAGGCATTTTACTAAAAATCTTTATATTATTTTGATTTATTTTATTCACATACTTTTTTTATTTGCTCACTTCCCGCACGAATATCTTTATATTGTCACCAACTCCAACTGGTTTGCAATTTGTTATCATTGACGGATTTGTAGTTTTATTAATATTGTTTTCGCGTTGTTGGATTTGGGATGTTTTTGTTTGCCTGATCAAAGAATTTGGCGGGTTAATAATTAATTGCAGGGTTGAAGATGCACGAACGACGATGAAGGGTATTTTGGTACCGAGTTGTCATATTAAGACATAGAACCGAAATCGGGGAAAAGACTAGCGGGAAGTGATTGAAGCGGAAAACAATAAACATTTGGGAGTGCAAGACAATGTTATTTATAATTTTCGAAATTATGTCGTTTATCAAATCACGTAAATGGATTTACTTTTGGGAAGTGAGGCATACATGAGATCAATGTAAGATTGCAGAATTTTCTGAGAAACACGTTTCTTGCCCTCGTTAACAGAAAAGCGACTCGATCGTTACTTAACTATTAACATGGGGGATGTCTTACTATTTTCAATAAGAAAGTTACAAATTTAAATTCCCAACTATTGGTTAGACATTTGAAGCATTCTTTGTTAACTTAACCGTCTTGTGAGAGGCTTGTAAGTTCTTTTTTTTTCTGCAGAACCTCTATTCTTTCAGATACAAGTTTAAATTACAATTCAAATTGTCAACTAGAAGAATAACTCCTCGAACAACACAAGGGAAGTGAGCAAATCTATCTTCTATTTCCGCCTTAAATGTCTTTTCGAGTGTAAATAATTCGTTAGTAGCAAACAAAGTAGTTTGAGAATTCTTAGAACTCGCGCGTATCCCCAAACGAGCAACCCATGAAAGGTAATACAAATGATCCACGCGACAACTTTCTGAATGGTCTGCTATCATACATGAATTTTTCGCGGCAAATGAAAATTATCTTGGTATGTCGGGTATATGTTTGGATATGTCTCATATATGTTTTTCTATACGTTTTTTTTTTGTAATCCCCACGTGGTATATCAGTATGTCAGAATATTATATATTTATCGTTTTATTTACAGGATCGACATATACATTCATGTTGATCTGCTAAAAGGCAAAACACGAACGCCAAAACTCAATAATGCCAAACGTATTGTATCGTATCGAAAAAAATTCTATAGTGAGTCGTTTATATCGAACAGTTCTTCAACAACCGCGGATATTACTTTCACGACGTACTTTCGCTAACATTGTTGAAAACAAAAATGATGATGCAGCTTCTGTCAAAGAAATAACTAACGGTTTTGATGTCGTGATGCTTCCGGATTGGCTATATAAGCAGGTCTTTCCAGGTCAAACAAAGCGCCCTACAGTGCCACCAGCTCGTGAAAGGGTTGCTAAGCAACATTTAGAAAAGCAAGGACTCCTCGGCAAAGCTACGGAACCCGTGCCGCATTTGACGGAATTCCAATTACCAAAACTTTGTGGAAATACAATCGCAGAACATTTCTGGAAAATAGGCGAAGAGCAGGCTCGTCCAATTCGCGAGATTGCGTTAAATTTTTCCAAGATTGATTTACCTCAGAGACCGCAAGAACATGAATGGTTGTTTCGAGCTAATTGGACGCGTTATGTTTCGGGAAAGAAGCCCAAATCCGTTAAATTTCCCGATGAGGAGTTACTATGTTTCGACACCGAAGTCGCGATAAAAGATGATGCTCATCATCCGTTGTTAGCAGTTGCGGCATCACCGACCGCATGGTATTGCTGGATCTCACCGCGTTTAATCGAGCATCGGAAAATGCTCAAGCTGGAAAAAACAAAACGAAAAAAAATTAAGAATGAGGCCACAGAACCCCCGAAAAAACGAAAAAAAGCTTTGGGTTATTTGATTCCTATGGGTAAACGAGATAAATATCGATTAATAGTTGGCCATAATGTTGGATATGACAGGGCAAGAATAAAGGAGGAATACAATGCGAACATTACGTGTAATCGCTTTTTAGATACGATGGCTCTACACATAGCCGTCAGTGGTCTCTGCACGCAACAGCGGCCATCATGGATCAAGTTTGATAAGGCTACTGAGGAGGAAGACAATGACTATCTTTTGGAAGCAAAAGACTTTAAGAAGGTTTATGATGTCAGCTCTATGAACAGTCTTGCCAACGTTGCCAAATTTCATAGTCAAGTTCAATTAGACAAATCTCAGCGAGATTATTTTGTAACCGGCTCGTTGGACGAAATCGCTGATCCCGAAGTTCTTCCCCAATTAATTTCTTATTGTGCTAGTGATGTGGAAGCAACGCATGTTGTCTATAGAAAAGTCTTTCCACGATTTCTTGAACTATGTCCGCACCCAGTGTCCTTTGCGGGTATCATTCATATGGGTAATATGTTTCTAACTACGAGCTCTGACTGGGATAGGTACATCAAGGCAGCCGAAAGCGTATATCTGGAACAGAGTTCTTTCATCAAAAAAAGTTTAATAAAATTGGCTAATCAAGCGCTTCGTAAATGGAAAAAGGATCCCAAATCGATACAGAAAAATCACTGGTTGAAACAGTTAGACTGGAGCCCTCCCTCGCCTAAGGCAAGAAAACTGGTGAACTATCCCAAATGGTATCGTGATTGTCATTGTAATAAAACGAATGAATTGAATCTTTCGGCCCGATCTCGATTTGCTCCAATACTTTTGGAATTAAGTTGGATGGGATATCCTATGTATCATTCCAAGATATACGGTTGGATGTTTCGTGTGCCTTCGGAGGACACTGGATTTAGTACGAAAGCAAAGAAGCTTGTGTTTAAGACTTCGCCTGATGACGAAGATTATGAAGAAAGATATGCTACAGATACTGAAGGTCATTACTATAAGATACCTCATAAGGACGGAGATAATGCACGATGTGGTTCACCGCTCGCGAAACATTACATTAGCGCCTTTGAGAATAAAATTCTCTCATCAGGGTATCCTGAAGCTAGAGAAGCTCTCTCGATGAATGCAGCTTGTTCATACTGGATAAGCGCAAGAGAAAGGATTAAATCACAGATGGTAATCTACGGGAATCGCGAAGACATTGAAGATCTTGGGTTCAAGATGGCTAAATGCAAAACTCCTGGTATGATTTTGCCGCAAACATTAACCATGGGAACAATTACACGTAGAGCTGTGGAGAAGACCTGGCTGACAGCTAGTAATGTTAAGAAGAATCGTATTGGATCCGAGTTGAAGGCTATGATTCAAGCACCAGTTGGTTACAAATTTGTCGGTGCAGATGTTGACTCGGAAGAATTGTGGATAGCTAGTCTGATCGGTGATTCGTCATTTAAATCTCACGGCGCGACTGCCATGGGATGGATGACGCTTCAAGGTACGAAGGCGGCCGGGACAGATATGCATTCGAGGACAGCTAAAATTTTGGGAATTTCGCGAGATCATGCTAAAATATTTAACTACGGCAGAATATACGGAGCAGGGCTGAAATTTGCCATTCAGTTGCTGCGTCAGTTTAACGAAAATATTGCTGAAGAAGAGGCGCAACAACGCGTAGAAGAGCTATACAGACAGACAAAAGGATCAAGATTCTTCACAAAAGGCAATCATACGTCGTTTTGGTATGGTGGTAGTGAAAGTTTTATGTTTAATAATCTGGAAGATATTGCCACAGACGAAAATCCAAAGACACCTGTGCTAAAATGTTGCATAACAGATGCACTAAAATCTCAGGTGGTGAAAAATGAGTACATGACTTCACGCATCAATTGGGCTGTCCAGTCATCTGGAGTTGACTATCTACATTTACTCTTAGTTTCTATGGAATATCTCATCAAAAAGTACGATATTAATGCGCGATTTATGCTTTCGGTTCACGATGAGATACGTTATCTTGTGAATGACAAAGATGTATTTCGAACAACACTAGCACTGCAAATTAGTAATTTATGGACTCGAGTTATGTTTAGCCATATGTTGGGAATACAAGATTTGCCTCTGTCTGTTGCTTTCTTCTCTAGTATTGATATTGATCATGTATTAAGGAAGGAAGTAGATATGGACTGTAAAACTGTTTCTTTTCCGAAAGCCATTGAGCAAGGAGTGAGCGTAACCATACAAAAGATCCTCGAAACAGTAAATACACTCGGAGGGGAGAATTCACAGGATGAAATTTTACCCAAACTCGATGAAAAATCTACAAAGTTTATAGAGCCGTTACAATTGAAGAAGGATGATTTAACAAGTCTTCGCATGCAAGCAGCAACGACCGAGGACGAAGTACGTACAGAATTATTAGGTTCTAGCAAATCAATGCATTCGCGTGGCAGACCAAAGAAAAGCCATCCGAATTCAGAACGTGTAAATATGTGTTTTCTTAACTAGATAGAAAAATATGTAATATTTAATAAAACGGCAAGCATCCTCTCCGCGTAGAGAACTTGGAAGATTATAATTAATATTAAGGATTTTAGCAGATTTGGCTATATTAACATTAAATATAGGATGTTACAGTGCAATTCACAGTTACTTGCAGATAGTAATAGTTGATGTACTTCTATAATAATAAATTCTCAACAGTGATGATTTCTTTCTTGTTCCAACCAGTCTGATATGAATTTTAAAATTTATTAACATGGTTATTTTGGGTTTTAAGAAGCGTATCTCTAAATTCGATTTACATCTTAATATTAGTGTTGAATTATTGACCACTTCTCATGCAAATCTGAAAGTATGCTCTTCAAAGAGTCATCAATTTTGGGAACTGGACACCCATGCCATGCTAATGTCACACTCGCACTATTTTTAACCGAGTTGGTTCTTTCGCATGATTCTAAGAACGTTCATAGACATGTTTGTAGACAATTCTGTGTCTTAAATGTAAGTGAAATTGGTTGTTGTTTGTTCTACAGCAATTGCATCACACATAGAATTTAGTCGAATGTCTACTGGAACAGATATTAATGACTTTGCAGAGATTGTTCAGGGAGCCAAGAAAGTTTACACAAACATAGAAAAACAAGCCTTTCTCTTTGTAAAATACTAATGGTTTGGAGACTAAATTGTAATCACGACTCCAAATCGTAATATATACTATTACAAGTCAGCGGTTAAATTGTACCAATGTGACGGATTAATATATTTGGGTGAGGGCAATTTCTCTTGGGTGGTTAGGTTTAAGGATAACTCTTGTTAATAAAAGAGTATGTGTGGGGCTTCAGAAGACCACCAATTTAATCCGGTGTCATTCTCTGCCACAGCACGCGTGACTAGTTGAAGAACCACATGTCTAGTGTACCTTATATCTCAAAACGGAATTGCGTAAAATGGGCACAAGATAAATACGTTGTTACTTTCCTAGCTTTGCATGCACATTCGGAAGTTTGCTTATAGGAAAATCTAGTATTAGATTCTCTCATACATTGTCATTACCCACTCTATTTGCATATTAATATGGGGCAGCATAATCTGCTTTTCGTGCAACTTTAGCTTACTTCACAAATCTCAAGATAAAAAAGTCTATTGGGATACAACTTGGTGAAAATCCCAAATTAACAAACTGGAAATAATAAAAAAGCCCAAGATCAATAGCATGCCACGTGATAAATAGGAGCCTTTTTTATTCGGTCATTTCCGCCTACATACAGAAAATAGTCTATTTGTAGAACAATACATCGTAATAAGCGTAGCATATATAATGACCGAATTTTGTATAGTTTATTCATCATCTTCCTCCTCATTAGCTAAGTGAATAAAGCGATACTCGATTAGAGAGGGTTACCAAAATTACAACGTAATTAGCAAAAACCACCCACCATTCTTCGAAGCACTTTTTTGACGCTTTCTCTTAACGCGTCCCGGACGTCCACCACCTGTGAAACAAAGACTAATGAGCACTTCATCCGATAAATGTAATATAATCATGCTGAATAAAAAGGTTATTAAATACCATATGGTGATGTCTGAGAGAAATCAATATGCTTCTGGGAATCGAGACTGCACGTGATAATTAAGGGTTACATTTTTTTCAATAAACAGACAAATCGTTCAAGGTGCAATCGTTAAACGTTCACCTACCGAACAGTGAAGCTGGGAATGTTGACAATTCGCTTTCCAACACTGATCAAAATAAACCAATTTTTAATGATTAATTATCTGCAAATCTCTCCAGGCTTCTGTTTCATGATTTACCCTCACAAAACAAACTTACCAAATATGCCTCTGCCTAATCAAAACTCTGGCATGATGAATACTCCTCGCCAATCCCAACTTAAACACTTGTGTCTGCAACCGCCTCTCCAAAAAGTCTTCAATCTTTAACGCAAGTACGTAATCCAGCTTCAACTTTGTCTCGTCCAATACCCCAATTCTAACCAAACGCCTAATCAACGCATTACCCTCAAACAATCGTCGAGGATCTTTGTCGTCAAGGGTTAGAAGTTCACGCGCGGCACGACGAATGTTGGATAGCGTATAGGCGACCCGCCAGATTTCACGTTTGTTTCGGAGTCCGTACTCTCCAATTAGTTTAAGTTCCTGATCAAGCCGTTCCCGTTCAAACGGACGCCGGGGAACTTTGTATGTTTTCGAACCTGATTACCGTGAAAAAAAAAAAAAGAAAGAAAAAAAAAAAGGCGCGAGGTAAAGCCAGAACCGCTGTTACGGTTTATGCTTTCCATTTGGTGCCCAGCAAATGCACCCAGAAATCCACAATTGTCTCCATGATGGATGTGAGTAGTGGATTAGGACTCTTGATTCGTTCGTGTCCAGAGAGATTGCTGCATACTCTCTTCTTTTGGAACTTTCCAATGAGACTGTTGATGGAATTCACGGCGAGGAATACCGCCATAACAGGAAAAGGATACATCGTATACAGTTGATCAACTGCTTTTCCATGTCCCATGAAAATGTACGGACAAAAATTCTTCGATTTCACAATTGTGGATATCGCAGTCCTCGTCGTAAATTCCTTCAACAGTCCATAAAACAACTCTTTCAAAAACAACCAAAATCCCTGCCCTCACTCCAACAACACAGGAAAGTTATCCAAAAAGAATACAATTCCTCACTACACAAGGCATTGTCTTTTTTCTGACGGGTGTTGTTTAATCGTCCCAGCAAAAAGAGGAAGAAAAAAGTTGTTGACACGAATCTGGGAAGAGAAAATTTTTTCGATAGCACGTGCATCCAACCAATAATGTCAACAGAATGTGTGAAAAGGTATTTGAGAAAAAAAATAAGAGAAACGAAATACTTCCTCTTTCTCGTTTGGTGAGTCGCTGCTTTTCTGTCTATATTATTTCAGCGTGAAAATTCGTAATCGCCATTCAATGGTGGAATGAATTTGGGAAGATTGAGGACACTGTTGTTCCCATTACTCCACATATACAACCCATTCGACTAAAATGTTCATCAAACCCGACTCCATTCTCTAGTTAAAACCCGAGACATGCCACACTCATTCGGTATCCGCGCGCGCACGCGCCACATGTTCTCTCGGAATTTCCGTGAACATGGGCCGGTAAAGCTTTCCACATATCTCAAAACCTACAAAGTCGGCGATATCGTTGACATCAAAGCCAACGGTGCCGTACAAAAGGGCATGCCTCACAAATTCTATCATGGCCGTACTGGTATCGTCTACAACGTCACAAAATCGGCCGTTGGTGTGATTGTCCATAAGATAGTCGGGAACCGATATATTGAAAAGAGGGTTAACGTGAGGATCGAACACATTAAGCATTCAAAGTGTAGAGATGACTTTTTGAGGAGAGTGAAGGAGAATGCAGCATTAAAAAAGCAAGCCAGAGCGAATAACGGTTAGTTGAAAATGGGGAAGCATATTATTGATTTATTGAGTGAAGGGATTTGATTAGGTTTTGCCACATGTGATCGTGATCTGATTTATATCAAGTCTTTGAAGTTAATCGATCTTACATTGCCTCTTCTTTTTTTAACAAAATCACAGAAAAAGTAAATCTCAAAAGACAACCGGCCAAGCCTCGTGAGGCACATTTTGTCTCTACGAAAAAGAACATCCCCATTACAGTCACACCCCTTCCGCATGATACTGTCTTTTAATTATCGGCGTGTATTGCTGTTATATAAAATGCATTAATTATGTGACCCATGATGGAATTGAACTGTTCGAGTGCGTTGGGCATAAGAGAGGGTATGGTCTATAATATGTCATGATAACAGCGAGCGTTCGAATAATTGTGTAAACACGACTCATACGACGAGGATTAACGTGACATTTATTGATTGAAAATACGTATGATAGAGATTAAATAGTTACAGAAAAGCCCATGTGTTCCATATTTGTTGCTTTCACGCAGCGTCATATATACTATCTTGCATCTATTTGAGCCCCGAGTATGTACATCTCCATAGTTGGGTGACATTGCATTTGTTCTAGATGATAGCCGAGCTTGTCCATTACTGTTAGCATGCTTGCGATGCTAAAACCTCCAAGATTGTTGATTCCGACGGATTCCACAATCAACTCGCTTTGACACAAACTAGGTATCACTTCGAATCGAGCTTTGTCAGTGAAAGTATGACCACCAGGCAACATGTTGCGCCTTAACCAGTCTTTAAGCTCTCGAAGTAGGTCATCGGGTCCGTCAATGCTTAGGACATCGTCTTTTCTTGCGGTAGAACGGTTCAAGCGAATGATAGCATACTGTTTTTGACTTTTCTGCGTCGACACTGCCTTTGGAAAAATATTTGGACGGTTCTCTATGTAATTATATAGACGATGTAAATGTGATGACTGGTCATAAGGTCTATGACGAATACCAAGTAGTCTAAATATCATCCTACACATTTCATATCGTACCTGGTTCAGGAGTTGTTACTTTAAGTCCAAGACTTTGTTCAAGATTACTAGCCACCTTATCAACATCGTCTCCAAACTGTTGCGATGTTGTCCTTAAGTACATTATGCCATTCTCAAATGCAGTCGTCGGATCTCTTCCTTCTACGCTCTCTACGATTTCAAAGACAATCTTTTTTTCGTATGTCGCTTTAATTAGCTCGTCTCCGAGTTCGGCATTTCTCGCGGTTGCGGAATCGATGGAAGCTGCGGCACTAGCAAAGTAACGCATTACATGGCGTACCATTTCAGAACCCTTGTATTTTTCCTTTTGCTTAGCATTGACTTCCTGCCAATTGACAATTAATTCATATTGATCAAGTAATGTATCTTCAAATCTCTTGGCTAAAGTTTTATATTCTTTCTCGAACAAGTCACGGACTGCAACGCGGACACCCAACGGTCTATAAACATTAACATTATTATTATAGATTTCAGTCTGTCGTGCGTGTTAACAGTAGATATCAATGTTGATGGTAATAACTTACAGGTTAGCCATTGTTAAAGCTAAAATAAAGTAATAAAGGAAAGTTGGAGGCGAGCATTTCAACTATCGTATTACGCGAATGTTACCAAGCACAAATTTCGCTGTCAGTATTAATTAAGTGCTACGGAATGATACTATTTAATTGGTCGATTATATTACTGTGTCCGGAAGACATTTAATGATCACGTTATCTAATGTTTCCCGAGACATGAGAACGTCAAGTTGTGAATTGACTTTAAAAATATTGCAATCTGTCAAATAACATTTCTATTCAAGGCCAACATAGTACGCCTAATTGATTTCCCATATAGACTGATGAGACAACAACTTTTATGTCAATTATTGAATGGTGAGATTGCAAGTACGCGTAGAGTTTACCATCGTTGATTTTGCGATTGTGACTAAATATGCTTACTATTCAAACGTTTAATATAAAGGTCGTATAGGACTCTTGACCGCAACATTAGGAATTTAAACTTGCCTCGTATGAAGTTGGTTCCATACAAAATAAGATTGCTTTCCGATAATAAAAAAATTAGCGAGCACGGTCCTTTGCTTTGTATTTTCATAAACCAAATTATCGGTAAATGCTGAAATAACCTGGACTGATATAACTAACTATTACGGTTTGTATGCAAGACATGTGTAAACCGTACGTTAATTGAGTCTTGGCAGTACTCTATGTATGTCTTTAATGTTGTTAAATCGCCAATAATAGTGGTACTATATATAAATGTTTTCGAATATTATATTGCGTGTATTCATATATTACAAAAACGACAATCATTAGTAGATAGGAAATTTAATAACTATGTCGGATAATACATGTCGATATTTCCATTGAATAAAGTCTTCGTCAAGAAGCATAATACTATCAGTAAACGAATTGTTTTTGATGGCAGTCTCATCAACAAAGAAATATTGGCTCGACAGCTTACACAAATTGTCAGATATTTTTCGTTAGCATTGTTATACCCTGTTGAAAAACCTACATCACAAAACGAATGCCAAAACTACCTGTGGTGGTTATTCGAAACATAACTAATAAAGCCGCCATTTTCTCGAAAACATTGGTTAATTTTTATATTTAATATCTGCATTCTTAATAGGCGCACGTGCGTTTATCATCGTTGGAGAAACTTGTAAAGTTTATTTCGCCTAACTACTAGGCGGGTCGATTTACATTGGCACTATACTAACAAACAGTAACTAAAATTAGAACTGATACTTTAGCCCTTTATTTCATAAAAGCTTTTGAAATTCAAACCTGTTGGCGGTTATCGACTTTAGCAAGAACCATTCCATTATTCTTGATAAACGTATCAACTTGATTAAATCATACATTTTAAAGTACTAATTCCTGTAACGGGACAATTAAACCTCGGATTAGTATTATTACTACTATTTGCCTAACAGCTTGTCGAGCTGCCATATTAGCGAGTTGACAACTTCTTTGGCAACATAAATAGAGAGTTAATTTACGAATATTGGGAAAATGAAGAGTAACATGACAGAATTGAGAAGCACACTACCAAGAGGCTTGGGGCTGCTTCTAATAAGTGAACTAAAATAACCAAGAGGCTTGGGGGTTAACCTTTAGTAAATGAACCAAAATAACCAAGATGCTTGGAGGTTGCCTTTAATAAATGAACCAAAAAACCAAGAGTCTTGGGTGTCTGTGTAAATCTGCCATTACTACAAGCGTTATTGTTTATTCAAGAAAATATATGCATACAATACTAGTATTACTGTTCATGCACTCTCTCTTTTCAAACAAACAATCGATGAATAAGTCGGTTTCGCAAATATACGGGATAGCCTTGGCACGATTGATAATCGTCATGGTACTCATCATTTCTAAACATCGATCGTGTTTGTGTTCTAGAAACAGGTTAATTGTTTGGAATTATAAAGAAAAAAGAGGCTATGAACGTTCTACAAAAGAATTATATGCATATGGCATCATTGTTGTATAGTATATCGTTAATTGACATGAAGTAATTAGAGAGTGAGTGAAAAATGATAAGAGCCCGTAAGCTTTTACGTAGAATTACAAATATAACAAGTTGCGATAGGTGGCGTATTGAAAAATAGGATCGACATTTCAAAAGACGTTTTGTACGCTTACTTTGTGATTAGTTATCAGCCGTTCCTGTTTCTTTTTGCAAGTCGCCACCCAGTATGAAATTCGTAACATTCGTAATTCTTTCCACACTTTACAAAAATAGGAGAAACCTCGTGGTTGTGATGGGATTAGTCTTTTGTCATGCGAATGATAATAAAGTGGTTGTTTTGAACGCCAATTGGTTTTAAGCGTTTGAAACCCCCCCCCCACCGACCCTCTCCTTCGCTCCCTTCCTTATCAGCCGTACCGCATGGTTACTTTGTAAATCTGAATATTTAATAATACCATATAGAAATGTGCCGTATCCCAATGAACAAGTTTGGCTTAATTTGACATGTGCAGATGTTAGCTCAGTGTCATGTAAACAATTATTAATAACATTTTACAACGTATTCTTTACACTCGTAACGACGATTAGGGATGTAGAATTGAGTCTACGCAGTCACCGTGATCAAACCTTTTTCCAAGCAACTTCCATACATGGAAGGTTTATTCTTAGATGACTTGTCTGCAAAAGGTACGAGTACAACAGCATGCAGATATTATTCGATTGCAGTACCTCGCACACAACGATCTGAACACGAAGATACGAATGCCACAAATTTAAATTTAAAATTACAAATAACGTGCAGTGTACAATTACTGCGCATTAATTTGGCAGCAAAAAATACCTTCTTTTTGTTCTCTTCTCAAGCAATGGGTTCACTCAGTGTCGCCATACCCCCCCCTCCCCCTTCCCCACCATTCCTTCTCATTAGAATCAATTTTTTTTTTCGTTTCTGTCATTCTTTTCCTAACAGCTGGAACCCTTTATCGAATTGTATTCGTCTCTCATCCGAGTGGTACGTAACAATCAAAACCACTGTTTACACAGTTATGTGATCCATGGTTTGTGGTAAGTACATGGTTCACCCTTATTTCCAATCATGTCCATTTATATCCAATCCAGTCTGCAATATGGTTGTTGTTCGGCTGTTTAGTTAGTCTGCAGAAACAATGTATGATCAACATTGTGGTTTCTTTGTTTTAATGAAAAGAAAGGAAAGAGAAAAGATAAGGTATGCCACACGGGAATAGATGTGTATGCATCAATTGCTTTTTATCAAACATGGTAAGTCCATGTTTTGTTATTATTGTGTAGTATCAATTCTAAATTTGATCAGACAACAATATTTAATACATTTAATCGAGTCAAACTCTGTTATGTTTCTGTCATTTCGATTTGTTATCTGAGATGTTGTGAAACTTGACATGTCCAGCATGTCCCACACAAGTCATTGGTAGACGACCTATTTTTATATCTTAATATTAACTTGTCAATTAGCTAATCGAATGAATTTATTTACTATTGGTTTTTTTGAACTCGCAATTCTTAAAATGTCTAGCGTCTTTGCACCTCATTACATAACATGAAAAAAAAAAAAGTTTATTTCCGAGACCAACATAAAAAACGTTTTCCCCGTAACTCTCATACGTACATCTGTTCTAATCGTCCGAATAATGCCTGCAGAAAAGTTGCTAAAAAATAAACACTGTATTAAAAATCATCAGTCGAGCGACTAATCGTAATGGAGACGTTTCAGACTTAATCCGTGTATACATCCACAGAATACTTGTTTTCATATCTTCGCATCACTTGAACACTATACACATGTTGTTCGCTTGGCCATACACTCAACGTAATTTGGTAAGCCAATCAGTAAAGATCGACTTGCAAGTCTATCAATGCATCATTCGAACACCACAGGTTCTCAAACCATCTCTGTTTCTCGAGTGGGTACAATTCTCTCAAAGACGACGGGTCTTACGTTACTAATGAAATATATGTGTTACTTTGCGGTATCGACAAGCTTTGCCCAGAGGAAAGGAATCACAATTAGAGTTCTCGATTTCCCTAATCGGGGATAACCAGGAGCAAAAGAAAAAACAAGCATTGAGACACAACAAGAGAAGCGGGCAATTAAAAACGTTTCTACAATCCACAAGAGGTTAGATTGGGCCCTAGCAGCATCTGGATTAACAACTTGGGCCGACATATGACGCTATCGGCAATAGAATATTCTGTGGCTCGAGGATATTATGATTAATGTAGCACTCGTCGTAAAGTGTGTTGCTTTTGTGAATAAATAAGTTCACTTTGTCGTATTGGTCTAGTGAGCCAATGATAGAGACGAGTGATAAGATTGGATTGTTGTTCCCGTAAGAACAAGAAAATTGTCCCAGAACAAAGAATTTCAAAACCTCGTAAAACTATCATAAACTGTTACCTGATCCAGTACTGTTCAATGAAACTATTCTAGACGAATTAGGAATTTTTTTGAGTTTTAATGCATTTGCAAAACATCAAAGGTTTATTCCTTAAAATGTTTGTGGAGACCCCAAAAAACGAAATCCACAAATCCATATTGAACCATTTCGCTGCCTCATATGGTAAAGGCGTAATGTAATGTAACGGGACATCGAATTGACGGCGGCCGATAGAAAAAAAAACTTTTTTATGTATTTTAAAGGTAAATAAGCTTTCCAAATTATAAATAATAAACAATATGTGCAATGCTAAGCTTGTTAATAATGACATATTTTAAAATACACACCTTATTAACAGCTCGTATGCATTTGTGAGGCAACCTGAAATTGCATGAGCTACAGAAATCGTTTTAAACATGCATTTTTAAAACGCGCATACGTTGTTAGTCTGTTACATTTGGTCGAATATAACACACAATCGATAAGCTGTAACAGAAGAAACCTCTACAATCCTGGGTTGAATCGCATTGAATTGTCTTCTGTCTTTCCAACAATCCAACATGTGAACAATCCTTTTACTAATGTGTAAATGATCTTCCATATTCAGTTTATGGTGCTTACAAAAAGACAGGGTTTAACTATTACCGGAATGAGGAATATATGCATATAATGTAAAAAAATAATAACAGTTTATTGCGCAAATAAACAAATAAAAGAAAGTCAACAAATTCTGTAGTTTTATTAAGTGTACAACACAATTCCATTTTTCTATTTTATCTTCTGTTACGAAAATCGGCAATTTACGGCCCAGTCTTTTCCAAGCCTGATAATTACCGCTACTCTTTCGACTTCTCGGGGGAGGTTTTTTTTTTGTCTCCGGACGTCAAATATCAAATTGAAACAGATCACACCATCGTGCTTGTCCTTTCTACTTGGTCTCTGTCAAATACAACACCTGAATTACAAAGTCTTATCCACAAACTGCCGTAACCGCTTCAAAGATTATCTTACTTTGTCCAATAATCGTAATCGGGTAACTAAGTGTCACACTGCAACAAACTATTCCTTACTTCCATTAATAATCTTATTTCTTTTTATTATTATTCTTTCTTTATGTCTGCAATCAATTTCAATTGCCATTAGTACTACTTTTATTATAATAAATACATGTTGACATCACCTTATGGAAGCCGACCATAATAATAACACAAATGCCTGCTCTTCTGCAACACCCTCAAGCATTCACAAACTCGTATACTCACAGCTCGTCATGATCAGTGAACTTCGGAAATATATATAAAAAGCCGATTTTTGGAAATTGCCGCCTACCAACATTTCTTTCCGATTTTTGAGAGAACTGAAATATTTTACAAATACATAACATATATCTTACATTAAGAGCATAGGAAATAATAGTAAAATAATAATAAATAATACTAATAAACGACATAATTATATCGATAATTAATCTAAAGGATAACTTTACCGGTTTCTACGTCCGCATCCAATTACTGAGATACTCGATATATATTAATATTAATTCAAGAAAACAGGAATTAGTCAATGACATCCCAATCGGCATCTTCACAACAATCTTCCCCTTCCAGTGCCTCTTTCGACTGCAAATGGAGCCGGTGTTCGCTCACCTATGGTTCTCTAGATGACCTTATAGTCCATATTCACGAAGGTATTATTGATATTGTCATAATAATATAATCTATTGTATACTGTCTACAAGTATCGAATGATTTGCATGGTGACACCAACCATGTTAGGTTACTAATCATTATTTTTTGCTGAATATTTGGGGTATTTTTTTACTTAGTACACGTAGGCAAGAAAAAGTCAAAGTATATCTGCGAGTGGGAAAACTGTCCAAGAATCGGACAAAACCAAAAGTCTCGGTTTGCTCTTGTTACCCATTTGAGAAGCCATACGGGCGAGAAGCCATTCGCTTGTGAATTCGAAGGTAGGTCTGTGAGAGTGCTGTAGGAACCATTTAGGCGTTTGAGATACGAGTAATGAGGGAACAAGGAAATAAAGATCAGGCAATGGAGCAGGGAGGGGGAAAGTGATTCGTTGTCTCAGATCGTCTTTTATGTATACGACGTTGTCTTTTTTCTTTTACACGCAGGTTGCGAAAAAACTTTTACACGGCCTGATTCACTAAGAAAGGTAAAATACCGATTATTTCCGTTTGCCTACACGAACGAGACATTTATTTCTCTTTCTTTGTATTGATCCTTTACCTTCGTCCATTCCCTTTCTGAAACAAAAAAAAAGCACATACGATCGCAACACGGAAACAATCAAATGGCCGAATCACCCAGACATCCTATATCATCCAAGAAACGTAAACCTCGCTCGCCCTCATCTTCACTGTCTGAATCATCTTCACATTCCTCTCGGGCATACCGTAATTCGACGCAAAATCACCAAGTCAATCGCAGCAATCCATCATCCTCGACTCATCGTCTGCCTACACTACCTAATCACAGCGATAATGTATACAATCCTCATCGCACTTATACTTCCTCATCGAACACAACATCACCGAACGAGAGTGAAGACGAAAGCGATACACAAGGGACAACGTACTATGAAAAGTACTTACTATTGAAGGCAAAGAGCAAGTATATCAGGCGGGAGAATGAAATACTTGTGGACGAATATCAAAATGTAAAAGTCAGATTGAAGAGACTAAAAACGGAAAAGGACATTTTGTTGGATGCCGTCATTGCTGCTTCGGGAGATGAATAGAATTCAATGAACAAAATAGATGTAGGAGGAGTTATATGGGAGGTTACATAATTGATGCAGTTTGGATATGGGGTGAGGAGAGTATGACGATTACGTGAGGCTGTGTTTTCATCTAGTATAATTTTCTTTTCTTTTTTTTTTCTCTACTTTTTTCTTTTGTTGATTTTGCTTTTTTGCTCCTCTTTTACCTCAACGGAGCCTTGATTGACAGAAAAAAAAATAGTCAGATCTTTTTCTCCCGACGGTATTTATCTTTTAATAAGCCAGACATGTAAACTCTGATATGAATTCTATGACTCCTCCTCAATGTATATAAACAAGTTATATCTCATTAACTGACGTATGCGTAATGTAATTAAATTAGTGATAAGCCATATAATGGATTCTCGCGCGATTCCGGTTGTATTATATAAGAACTATTCAATTCTCAACAGAATAAAGCTGATAATTAATTTTGATACCATCAAGTACAATGGGCATATTGGCAAAGTTTGAAAAGCACTTGTCATATACTCTAAATGACAACTTCTTTGCCGTCACAGTAATGCTTTATCTGAATTGTTTGCAGAACGACATAATCAATTGATTCTGATACCAGCAAAGGTAATGTATTAGTATTTTTGTAATTTGTGCGCGTCGTTTAAAAGTTGATTACAGACAAAGCGCAATTGAATTTGTTGGTCAGCATAGCATGGAACGGTACTAACCAGCATGCAACCAAGACAGATTCGAATAATTTGGCAATCTGTTTATATAAGCGATCATTCAACCGTCCCCTCCCCCAAATGTAAGATCCAATCCACCAAATACTAAACATGCATAGCGCTGTTACAGTTTCGATGCAAGGCACTTCTTTACTATGGTAAGTGCAGCTAGCGTCTTCTTTTACTCGTGTAAGACTTATATTAGTTTCCTTGCTCTAACGAAGGCTGGTGCCCAATTGTCCGTTTGAAGAATAGCTTATGGATTACGTGACCGATGTGTAAAACCAGGATAATATTTACTAAACAACATCGCGTCAAGGAAGACTGATTTGATTCTGTGCATAAATTGTGAATCAAATGCCTTGCAGTGTCGCAGAACGTGGGAGCTTATCATCCTGATAAATCAATTGTCTGACAATTATCTGGCTAGTGATGACAACGACAGGTTGAATTGACTGGCTAATCCGAGGGACACCCTCCTCCCCCCCTTTTGCGATTCTTATAAAATATCACTGTCCAAGTTTTAATCAATTTCGGTTCGGTTTGTGGCTATTCCGGAAAAATCACGGGTAGATTATGAACGATACGCGCGATATAAATCATACGTATGATATATCACCCGGCTCACTGCAATAGGTCAGTCCCACAGTTGGCACATATATGCATGTTGCAGAGGGCTCATGTCTTGAGATCCGATCTAAGCAGGCGTTCGCCTATGTGTGCCCATTGCATACCATAGATAAGAAAAGCATTCTCTAACGTGTTCTGATAACTTTTGCTATTGATTCTCCAAATAAAACAAAGGTCAAGCTTTTTGCTTGGCTTTGCTAGGCGTTTCTAGGCATTGCTAGATGTTGCTTGGCATTGCTATACTCATTTTCCTCTAACATTCCCATGACAATGGTATTCCGGAAGAATATATTAGTTAAACAAGGAAGTAATTATTTCCGTCATACCTTCAGAGATTATCCTTTATCGTCAAAGGAAGCTCGTTTCAAGTAAATGACCTTTTGTTGAGTGTAATAGTAAGTTATTATTTATTTCACTGTACAAAGATAATCGTATATTAAATGCCTATAAACTAATCTTTCGTTCCTGAATAATGTTATGATATCTTGTTCCAAGAACTTTGTCAAATATCAGCCCGCTGAGTACATTAACTTGCGCCTAACATGTAAATACTAATAGTAATAGTCAAACCTCTTTTCCTCGCATTCTGACCCCCTTCCTGATAACAAATACGTAATATCATCAACCAAAAACTAAGAGACTATCGTCTCGTTCATCTTCATATTGATCTCTTTTGCACAAACACACATACAAAATGCTCAATGCACAATACAAAGCCTTCCTTTCATATAATGATGTACGTCCACCATTCATACGGCATCGCTCGGAGTCCCGACTTCTCTCAACGTGGTTCGGGAAACACAACACCATGGAAAGTTTTACCGCATTTCTTACAAACTGTTTTCTTCTTTGAATAGCCACAAAAACGCGGTAGGCCTAAACAAAAAGCCCAAAATAATGTTCCATTCGTGCTTTGTAATTGATTGTGTGGTGGTGATTAATGAAAAGGTACGTGTTATGATAGTTTCAAAACGTATTTGGAGGACGCAAGCATGTATGTAACTCTAGATGACTCACTAGTGAGATCTCAATTCGTGGAATCCTCCTTTATCGCACCAGCCAAGATGTGTTGCTATTCGATGTTGCTCGTTTATAGCAGGGTCTGTTGAGAGAAAGAACAACAAGGATCAGTACCGAGTTTTTGTGACTTCCTCCAGTGAATGTCAAAAGATAAAGAGGCTTACCTTCGTGTGGTTTGTACGAGTTCTCAGCTCCTGGATACCGCGACATATTGGAAGCAATATTGTATATATCTCTTGCAACGAAAAGTAGTTGAATATGTTCTTTTCAGTTACACTTAATTTGTATTGTTTTTTTCTTGTACAGTGTATAATGTCTGGTGATGTTCTATTTATAAAAATAATAATTAATGATTTTCGGCTGTGGCTCAATACGTTGCTGTGATGTCATTATATATTAAACCGATTTTTCACACTAACCGAATACTATAAACAACACCTTATAATAAGAAATACTCACAAGAAACCCTCGGGCCACAAACTCTTCTTTTATCCTAAATAACGAAATAATACAATGGAAAATCTTTATTGTGACGAAAGTGGAGAAGTCAAAGAGATCCACGATGAGAGCGTGCTCGTTACCGTCGTCAAACCATCCGAAAAAGGAACTGCCAGTAAGACTCAGGAACAGACGCAGCAAACGTTAAAAGAAGATGAAAAACAGAAAACCGAAGAAAAGTTATTCGATGGTTGGTTCATTATTAAACAAATCTTTTTGAGATTGAAATCATTCAACGCCTCTTTGCTTATTATTCAGCCAAGTCTGCGGAAAAGTTGGAAACGTGTAAAGAAATCGCGAGCGGTTATTGCGATTGATCTTAACGACGTCAAAAGTGCTGAGGTGTTTCTGTATAATATGATATGTAACACACAATACAGAGAGGTTAGCTCGTTGCCAATATAGTTACAATAAGAACGAACGCACATGAAGATTAACCTTTTACGATTTATGTTTGGACATTTCATGCTTTGTCTAACGGATGGATTTAATGCGTGTGTGATTCAAGAGCTATAATTATTATACGCACTATCAGTCGGTCGAAATTGGAAAACCGAGATACTGCCAAACTCTTAAATATATTTCGCATTCAGATGCAAAAATTCTTATCGCCTTTTGTAAGCGCTCTTGAAACATTCTGTTGGCATGGGAATAAGTCTGCATTTGCTTACTTGACATGAATAAGTTTTGTACACCGAAAACGCATCTTCACATGTATATAGTCATCATGTATAGGCAACACGTGAACTGCTATTATTACCAGAGACATGGATAACTTTATTAGGTATTTGCAATGGATGCGTTTATAGCTTTTTAGTTGATTTGAACCAATACAATATTAAAGAATAGAGATAGATCAATAAGACGTTACGGACTTTACATAGCGGCAACTCGTTATAAAACTAGATTCTTGAATCTCTTTTATAATGTGAAATTCGTATTATGAGAATAAGATATATGCATATCAGATATGAATTGAAAGTATTATCAAGTCTGTAAATCGTCATAACTATACTCTACGATTCACGAATACATTGTGTTTTCCGATTAAGAAAACGTATTATATAAATCAAATTCCATTGCCATTCTCAAGCTAATTGGATACTTTTTAGTAACAAATGTTGGCAATTAAGATAAACAACAATTTTGAAGAATCACTGCCACCTAGCTATTGATAACAAATTTCCACTCAAAAATTATCTCCCGACTACCGAAAAATAGATTTGAGTAAAAATATCAAACTAAAAAAGTTAATTGCTTATCGAGGAAAATTGAGAGAAATTTTGGACTTCAGCAATAATCCCCGCCTAAAAAAACAACAAAATAGCCCAACAAAACCAAGCCTTAAACCAACATCTCATTAATCGAAAACAAAGACTAAAAGAATTAGGAGATAATGATGACTAGCCAAATTGCCAAGCACTAGTACTAGTTTTAAAACTGATTGAGCAGGCTGTTCGAGATTATTGGGCAAAAATACGCACGCGACGAACTCCAAAGTTCAAACACGCACTCAAGGGGCAATTGCCCAGTAGACTTAGTAGGGTAGAGCAATTTTGATGAGAATCCTTAAAATTTCCGCTCCCGGCCCCTTGGCAATACATTATAGTATAAAGCTATGTTTGATGAAATAGTTACGATGTAAAACCATATAAAAAATACGTATATCCATATATATCTATATGCCCCGCTGGGAAGCTTATAGTTATTGTTCATTTAACAGTTGAATCCAGTATTATACAAAGTTATTGTCACTTACAGTACATATGAAACAATACAAATAAAGCTGCTTTGTATGGTATGCTAATTAATTATCAATACTTTGAGATGGCAGCATTAAATAGCGCGGGATGACTGTTTAACGAAAGAAACACCTTTGGTTATAAACTGTACGATTGTTTGCGCGACAAATAACGCTTTCTTGTTCAAAGTCAACGTACCTTTTTTTGCATTTTGCTTTCATGGAGAATTAATCAATGATTTATTTGTGTATTTTCTTTATTTGAAAATATTTATTCTGACTTTATCCTCACTTTAAGCTACATTTGTTAGCTTTTTTTTTTCAATAAATATTTATTATTTAACGCAACTGCACACACACATTTGTAAAGAGATACCAAATAAAATTTAATAGTAAAACTATTATTTTACTAAGATAATTTTCAGAGCATAAATATAAATTTAAACTTGCGCGTCTACTCTTGCATGGTCTGTTCTATTTATTATAATAATCGATACGCTCTAAACAAAAACATATAAATACTTTACGCATCTACGTTATAGTTGACAATACAAAGAGTAATAGAAAAATCATTAGTAACAAATCAGAAAACTTATATTGAGGGGTTTTGTTTAACTTAAACAATTTAAGAAGACAATTTGGAGAAGAACAGTTGAGAAAAATAATCGAAAAACTGAGATAAATCCATACAGTGCACTCAACAAACAACAAAAAAATAACATGATAAATCGCTGAAATGTTGTTAACTTTAACAGAGTAAGGGGTGCCATGTAATATTATATAATAATTTTTTTCAGGTGTCAGTTGAGCTGTTCAATATTTGTTTTATGCTATTGTTATCAAATTAAATAACTTAAAGGCAAATTTTAACATAATAAAATTATAGTCTTTTAACCATTTAATTGTTTTATTAATTCTCTTTTTGCTTCTGTAAACGCATTATCATAGTGGCTACTACGAACACAGTTTCTCCATCTCCTATAAATTCTTAAATTGCTTTAAAGTTAACCAAACACTTCATAAAGTTGCAATAACCTTTTCGGAAATTACGTAATGTTAAATTAATGCATTAGTATTTGTTTTTGTATTTGTAAAGTTTCTGGTAAATGTCGGATAAAGCAATAACACTACAATAATAAAATTTTTCCATGTTAAATATTAAAAAAATATGTTGTCGGCTTTAGAAAGATAATAATGGTTGAAGATAAAGTGTATTGTTGAAATTATATTAACACATTTGTTACATATATTCGCCAAATGTCTAAGAGTAGATGTGTTGTTTCGACCAAATGCCACTCTTTATTCAAATATTCCTACATAAACAGATTAGAAATGATGATCTGGTATTCATTACGTTTACAATATATTCGCAAACAAAACGTGTTCCGGAAAACAAAGTAATTGATTGCGGATTTGAACGAAGAACGTGACAAGATATATTTATTAAAGGCGTAAAAAGTTTGTATTACTGGCGAAAAATGACCGACCATTTATATTAACAATATGATATTGGCACGTCAATTATACTAAGTTTATTCTAATGTACTCACCTATCGGGGTCAGCAAAATTTGCTATTAAATGTTCTACATCTTTTTCACCTATATTTGTAGAAGACTGTCAACAATTTTACATGGTTGATTGTATCTTAGAAATAAGTCTACACAAATTACGCAGATTTTTGATTAATTATTGATGGGTAAAACATTACACTGCAGCTTCATAACCATAAAATGAATATGTCACCCTTAATAAAACTATGCAAAAATTTTCTACAAGATGTGGACGAAAAAAAGCCCCCATCGAATGTCATAAATATATAATTGTCAGTATATAATATGCATATGCTGCATCAAGAAAATATGTCAACAAACCTAATATCCAAAGCATCGATAGGGACATGTATTTATTCACATGACATAGATCTGTAGATAATCATTCATCTTAAGTTCCAAAGTTTTTCATAGTCACCGAGGTTCGATATGTGTTATGCGGTATATCATATTGCCGAATACGAAACGCTTACATACAACGAATGAGATTGTATTCAGCATTTATGAGAATATTCTATAGAATTATCCGGGTAATATCTTTAGCATCTCGTAATTAATTAATCCACAAACCCAATTTAATAATAGATAATAATGATATCATTTTTTTTAATCCATTGCTCGTATGACCGAGTCTCGTACTACTGTACCGCTGTTTCAACTCCTTTCTGCCGGTTGTCATTCCCCCTTAAAATGGATACTCTCCGGTCTTATTTAGCCAATGAATAATCCGTTTCTAATCGAAGAGAAACTGGCTGTGTGTGCTATTATTATGTTACGTCTAATGTTTACTGTATTCCATTGGATGACCTAAACGAAGTCAGATTATCGGATATGCCTACACAAACATTTTATCGCACCACCAAAAACCAAAGTGGACATGCTCTTAAACATTGCGTTCGAACTTTACTATGCCAACAGTGCAGTGCTTGGTTCTAAATCTCTTATCGCCCGTATCTGCTTGGGGTACGACATCGACTGTTTGGATTTCTCACATTTCTTGTAAATGTCAAACAAGGCATGCGATTGTTGTTGCCATACAAGAGACACGGATAGGTAAGTGTAACTCGGGCTAACTGTTAATACTAACTGTGAAATAATGCTGAAGAGTGCCACAGGCGTATTCAGAGTAAGCCTTTAAATCCTGAAAATGACGCAAGAATGCGCCCTGTCGATCACAAATTGAGCACATTATAACTTTTGGACCCTGTGCAAGTGAATTAAATTACTAAATAAATTATTAACAACGACAATAATAATAATTTATAACCACTGTCATAATGTCGCTTGTAATCACTCGTTTTATTTAGCGCTAGGCCCCTTAGAACCTTACTCAATCATATAAGCTTTACAATGAATCGATGGAAAATCTGTAAATTATTAATCGACCACAATACAATTAATGTTAACTACTTGACATAATTAGAGTCCATCGCCACATTATTATCACCCCAAAAAGTATTAATTGACTCGAGCTCTTGCATCTTCACATACACTCTTACAAACCACCTTTTCATTGAAAAACAAAGAACGTAGCAACCAACAGCATTCCAGCACCGATGACGAAGCCATTAATACCTTCGTTCATGCTTCTGCTTGATCCATGATTAGGCGGTGTCGAACCAGTACCATTGTTAGTGGTGGTTTGATTGGGCTTACTAATTTGTGCGTATCCTATGATTACATTATCTGCCTTAGACGCCAGCAAGATGGTATTAAAGCTATCGAATTTCGTGCCATTCATTAGTTGGTACTGTATGTTGGCAGGATTGGCGACTTGAGCCACCTGGGCCTGGACTATTTGAGTTCCTGTACTATCAAGGCCATTGGATCCAAACCAGAATCTGTTGACATAAAATAAACAATTAACAGTATTTGTTAGTGTCATCTTACATAGTCAGATAGTCAGATGAGCAGACAGACAGATAGACAGACAGATAGACAGACAGATAGACAGACAGCAAAATGATATAAAGATAAATTAATAAATAAATAGATAGATAGAAATATCTTCGCAAATAGGAATATCGAGACATGACACACTATCGGCGACTCTAACGAACATCAATACCCTTTTCGTTCATGACTATGAGAAATTTCATCATCTAATTGAACAGATACACCAGAATAATACTCACGACAGTGGGAGAGCAGTGGTATAAGTGAAACCATCAACTTGGAAACGGCAACCATCGAGTATCGACAACGTTCCGGTTAATGTGATGGGTACACCATTATACGACGAGGTTTTCGTTATTAATGGAGCACTTGCTGGTGTGAACACCGCGGGATCGCAATTTTGTGCCAACGAGTGCGGAACGAACGAGACCAAAGCAAGTAAGAAGACTATTATCTGGTACATTTCGGCAAGATTTTGGTTTTTTCTGAGAGTCGGTTATTATTATTGTGCTATGTATGCCGGTATGGGTTAAATATATAATACTTTTAACGGGTTCCCCAATATGAAAATAGTCAATTTGTATAGCTAACCGATAAGTTAATTAATCATTTGTATCGTATAATGTCCTTATCTTAAGTGAAGAAGGAGGGGGTGGGGGTGGGGTGGGGTGAGGACGAAGAAACCTTGAGTCCTATTTATTATCGTCAATTAGGCAGTGATTGGAAAGATCGTTTTATTGCATGATGCACGATGTGCATGAAACCTTGGCACAATTGTACTATGAACGCATTGGTGAAACATAGGACAGAAATTTCGTATTTGACGTCACTTGACACAAAGGTCATGTGAGTTTACCAGTTGTTAACTGTACTGTCTCATTGAATTTACTCACCGCTCATCGGTACAGTAATTTGCTGAGGAAATTTTCACACTCTAAGGATACCCACCCTTTTAAAGAAATCAGCATTTAGTCGAATCAAAAGCGATTTTTGAGCAATGGCGGGAAACATGTTCTTTACATATAAAATTTTGTTCATTATTGGAAAAACGACCGAATTTTGACAAAACTTTTGTAAAATGATAACATTCCCGTACTCGATAACAATTTTAATGTTCAACTAATTGCGTGGTTAGGCAGCAGAATGGTGAATGTTTCTATTTATATTCTCGATCGTAACATTCCACAAAGAAAAAACCCCCTTTTTTAAAGCTATATGGAAAACTACAAGAAAAGCGGGACAAGAGTTAGTAAACAGAAACTCAACAAAAATATTTTGCATTTGTTAAGAAGTAATTGTATTGTAGATTCACTCTTCGCCGGCCAATAATGACAGTTATTTGTGACTTAGTTTTCTGGCAATAAGCATTCAACTATTGCTCAATTGACTTGCGTTTTATAGCCATACAGTAATGTTACAATAATTCGTTGTGCTCACCATTAAATTAATCCAATACTGTGTGTGTACATACATTGTTAATATTATATAACTGCTCTGGTTTATACTTCAAAAACAAACCCGCTTGAATTCTATCAGGTTATTGGCTACAAGTATCGTGCGAGGAGATAACTTGTGGACTGTGTGGACATAATGAACCGAGATTTAGGACAAAACAAGTTGATACATTCGAGAGTTATTTCGCTAATTCATGATATAAGAGCGCACGTAGCTGTTATACTTAGACAATTTACTACAACAGAAAGTGACTCCAGTGTTATTACCAATACACTAACCTAAATAACTATCGTTACTTGAAGCATTACAAAAATATGCTTAATGTGGCGGAGAAGCTTAAAATAAAAGGAAGAGAGAGAAAGGGAGCTTAGACGAATAAATATGAACGTGATTTAAAATAAACTTTTCCTAAATAATGAAATTTTCTCATGGCTATTGTGAGCAAAATTAAAATCTACAGTTCTCGCCGAAAATAATGGCAGTAAAAATTGGTTTGCTAGGTTTATAAAATTAAACCAATTATTCGTTAATATAGTAGTTTGCAAATGTATTATTGTTTTTTTATTTACTTAATACGTCAGGTGTGGTTAGAAATATCATTGTCTTTATATTTGCATTTAATAATCTCAGTTTGATTTGGCCAAACTATGTTTGCAATAAATAACAATTGACTCAAATCTACTACAAAATGTTCGCGTCTTTACCTAATACAGTCTAAGTTTTAATTCTCTACGTTTTTGTGCACGTTATATATTAAAAAGTCTTGAACGTGTGTTAAATAAAAACCAATAAAATTGATAATTAAAAAAAAATTGCCACTATTTTTGCTAGAAAGTGTCTTTGCACGACAATTTAAATTGAGACTCTCGTTGGATGTCTTATTTGATAATATAAGTGTTGTGCATTAATCTTATATCTAAATTTATTTATTTTTGATAACAATATTGAACTGTTTTGGTTGTAAATAATAATATGTTTTTTATTTTAGAGCAAACTCAATTTATTTCGAATCTGCGTTTTGCCGCAGTGGCTAATAAGATCGTAGTTTATGTGTCTTACTTTGCCAAGTAACTCAAATTTCGAAACAAATAGTTTGTTTTTCGTAAGTCTTTCTTTTATTTTAAAAAAGTAACCACCTTTGAAATAAATAATATAAAATAAAAACGCGTTTGAATAAACTGTATGAGAAAGAAGTATTCGATTCCAAAGTCATAGATTGCTTCTTTGATCACTCTAATGCCTTACTAACATTATTTTTATCAATAATATTAATATTATCGCTATCATAATTTTACCTTTCTTTCGTAATCTTTCTTGTCTGTGCAATAACCTTTCTATGAGTTATTTTTTCAGGTAAAAATTATTATAGCAAGGTTGTTATACGGTACAGACTACAATAACCATCGAGTTAACAAGAAATTGAAGTCAAACTCGAGATTTTAATGTTTTTCGCACGTTGTTAATTTCTGATAAATAATTTTGTTTTAATTTATAACATGCAATTAGTCTTGTACCTTATAATAAAAAATTAAGTAGACAAAGATTAATTTGTTTATTAGGAGTAATCATGTTAAAGTTGTAAAGTCAGGTTAAGCGTAAACTTTTTTCAAGCAAACTTGCGTTCAAAAACATTGCAGATTATAATTTGAATCACCATAATCTGCTTATACGTAGGGTGGGGTTTGGTTCATTTGCCCGACAAAAAACTACCCAAAAAGGATAACTTTGAAATTATGCTAGTAAATATTTGTCGGGCAAATAAACTGTCGGGCAAGTGAACGGCTCCCGTAGGAGGTCTGAAAGGTTTGACAATATATTTTTATCTCAATAATCTGTGTACCTACTAAATAAAGTAATGTAAGTAAAGTTCAAGTATCGATACAATTTGATTTGATGATTGTTGAGAAATCCGGCTTCAAAAACCGTACCCTAAAACGTATGGAAAATTTCCATGCGAGAATACCAATGCTACTACATTTTGCTAGCTGGAAAATTGACCCAGTTGCCAAAGAAAATTTATCAAGAGCTGAGGTTGAAGATGGCTCCCACTCAGGAGTCCTCTCGTAAAGCTTCACTCTCAGAAAATTGTAAAGTGGTAAAAAACTATTAAATGAGAGTCTCACATAATTTTAAGAATAATAGAGAAGGCGGTTGGAAAACTGTTAAAAAAGAATTGAACATACTTTACATAGTTAAGTTAATCTCAGTAAAGTATGTTCAAGATGGATTCTGTATGTCATGTAATTTGTTATTATAACAATGCACAAGGCACTGTATTTATAGTTACTTAAAGAAAAGTCTAATTAATGCTACATTTTTGTTTCAGTTTACATCTGACTTTCTGTAACTTTTTCTGTTTTTCAGAACAAAAAAAAGGTGTTTCGGAATTAGGGAGATCTTACGTGAACTGTTCAGGCAGTGTCTAATAGTATACCAAGAGGAGTACTGTTAGAGGCTTCAATAATCAGTGAAAAAGTTGTATAGAAGTAGATGGAGAGTACTTTAAAGGAATGTGATAATTTATTTTAAAATTATTATGTACATTCTCAAAAAATAATATTGTCAAAACTTTTCAGACACCTTATATAATTATCAGAAATTGATTAAAAGTTTCTTTTATTGTATATTTTGTAATACAGGTTTTCTTTGGCGAGATGTTGCAGTTTTTCAAGCAAACTTTTTGCAAGCTTATTAAATTTTCAAGGCTTGTTATTTATGAACAGAGTTAACAAACAATTTTATTTATTGGGCAAAAGTCTACCAATTAACCAATGCCAAATTTTGAGCTAATCAAAAGCGTAGTAATTTTCAGCAAAAGGTGTACTGGAAAGACTCCAGTTGCTTTAATGACACTAGCCAGAAATTTGGGGGAAGACAAACAAGAAAATTTTTCTTAATTTAATATTCTAATACTGATACAAGAGTGGCTCAGTGTTTGAAAAAAATTAAATGTATAAGTTTGTAAACTCCACAAATATCCAACCAAAATAAATGAAATTTAAATTAAATATAGTCTTACTTTTTAACTTTAATACAACTTTGTTTTATTGAAAAAGATTTAAATTTTATCAGTGCATTAAACCAGTACACTAATGGTCCAGGAAAGTTATGCCGAGCATTTTGTTACTTGTATTAAAAAATTAAAAAATAATACTTCATTTAATATTTCGTATAGCCATCTTTTACTTTTGCTTTTATAACACGCCTAAACATACTTCTTATTAAATCTTTGCAAATTTGTGGTAAATTTTTATTTTACTCAGCCTCCACACATTTTCATAATAACAACTCATGCATACTAATAACCATAATCTCATAAGTGACAAACTGTTGTTTAAAGGATTTAGATTTGGCGACTGTGCAGGCCAATCCTCAACACCAATGTCTTTAAACCATTTTTGAGCAACATGAGAGGTGTGTTCAGGGTTATTATTCTGTTGGAAAAATTAGATCTTAAGGGCAGGTCTGGATGGAGCAGAGCGGTCATATCCTTGGCTTCGGGACTAATAATTTTATTCACTTTCATCTCATAATACTTTAGGCTTTGAAAAATTCTATCTTCAAAAATGCATGTATAGAGAGAGCTCTGCATTCATACTTCCATCAATATAGCACGCATAACCAACCCCTTAAGCTGTAATACAACCCTAAATCATAAGACCTTCATTACCAAATTTAACTGGTCCTTTAACGTGTTGCTCTGTCAACATACTGCCAGGCTTCTTCCACACCCACTCACGTTTATCTGACCCTAAACAGTTAATTGGATCAAAAAACACAATGTTGATACTTTATTGCAAAGTCAAGGCGTTGGCGGACACGTCTTGGCAAAAGTCGTGGCTTTTCTTCGTTGTTGCTGTCTTTAACACAGTCTCTTTTAAGGTAACTTCTATATTTCTGGCATCTCCCCGCTCACGGAATTGTCGGACAGTATTATCTGCCTTGCCTGAAAGAATCGTACGAAGTAGCCTACGCTTATCGGTTCTGTTTGTCGTCTGCACGACTTTT